CGTAACGGGATGCTTTGCCAGAGCCACCCGCACCCCACCAAAACCAAGGTCACATGACCAAAATTAAAACGTTAATAACTTTTGTAATAATGCTTATAACGCTTAATCCTCTTAGACTATTACTCTTTATATCATACTCTAACATGTGTAAAAACGCTAGTAGTACTAGTTTTGTTTTACAAAAGATATTAAAGCTTATATTTTACTATATAAAATATTTATAACGTATTTCACAAGCGAGTTGGCCACCCAAGCAAGTTGGCCACCAAAACACCAAAACGCGTCAACTTGACTACAGTCAACTATGCCACAACCAACACAAGCCCAATCCTCAAATCAAGAGGGTAGAATACTATTAGCTATTCAGGCACTAAAGGAACGTCAATTTAAGAGTGTCCGAGCTGCTGCATTATCATACGACGTGTCACGTAGTACCCTTACCAACAGAATGAATGGAATGACCTCCCGACGTGATTCTACCCCAAAATCACAAAACCTAACTTCGTACGAAGAGTCAGCTCTTGTTCAGTATATTCTCGACCTAGATTCGCGTGGATTTCCGCCCCGGCCGCAAGCTGTGCAAGAAATGGCAGACCTACTACTCTCCGAACGAGGTGAGAGCCCTACTGGGAAGAACTGGACTAGTAACTTCATAACGCGTCGTACGGAACTTAAAGCAAAGTTTAGTCGGAAGTACGATTACAAACGAGCAAAATGCGAAGATCCAAAGATAATTGAAGGGTGGTTCACCCTCGTACGAAACACAGTCGCAAAATATGGCATCTTAGAGCAGGACATCTACAACTTTGATGAAGCAGGTTTCGCAATGGGAGTTATTGCTACTGCAAAGGTAGTCACAAGCTCAGAAGCAAAGAGCCGTCCAAAGACTATACAGCCAGGGAATAGAGAGTGGGTGTCAATTATCCAAGGTGTTAATTCGTACGGATGGGCACTCCCGCCGTTCATTATTTTCAAGGCGCAGAATCACCTCTCAGCTTGGTACGAAGACTCAGGATTACCAGACAATTGGGTGATTACGCTTAGTGAGAATGGGTGGACTTCAAATTCAATTGGGTATGAGTGGATTCAACACTTCAATCGACATACAAATGCTCGTACGGTCGGAACCTATCGCCTTCTTATTCTTGATGGACATGAGAGCCACATCTCTGCTCAATTTCAACACTACTGCACAGAACGGAAGATAATTACCCTCTGTATGCCACCACACTCATCACACATTCTTCAGCCTCTTGATGTGAGCTGCTTTGCGCCACTAAAGCTTTCGTACGGAAAGCAGATTGAAACCTTCGTACGGAACCGGCTAAACCACATCACAAAGCTTGAGTTCCTCTCTGCATTCAAAGAAGCATTCAAAGCTACGTTTACAGAGCAGAACATCAAGAGCGGATTCCGAGCTACAGGACTAGTTCCGTACGAGCCACAGAGTGTCCTCTCTCACTTAAATCTACGCTTAAGGACTCCAACACCTCCTATAGTTGAGAGTGACAATTGGACTTCAAAGACTCCTCAAACTATAAGGGAGCTTAACTTTCAAACAGAGCACATTAAGAACCGCATCGTACGACATCAGAATAGCTCTCCTACCTCAATTAATGATGCTGTTAGCTGCCTTGTTAAAGGGGCGGAAATGATGATGCATTCTGCTGTTCTACTTAAGGCAGAAGTTAAGGCTCTACAAGCGGCAAATGAACAGAAAAAGAGGAGGGAAAGGAAGCGCAAGAGGCGTATAATGCAAGGGGGCAGTCTCTCCGTACGAGAGGGAGAGGATATGCTTCAGAGTGCTGAGGTAGAAGCTCAAGTCCGTACGGAGGTGGCAAGTGAGCATTGTCGGCAGGTGGGTTCTACAGGCCGACAGAAGCGCTGTGGCATATGTGGTATTATGGGCCATAACTCCCGTACATGTACGAGGCACAAGGATTCAATTACGATCGAATAAGGGTCATTATGTAGGGTGGTGGTGTAGTAGTAGGCAGTAATAGTCAATTTTGGTGTTTTGGTGGCCAACTTGCTTGGGTGGCCAACTCGCTTGTGAAATACGTTATAGTAAAAATTAAACTATAAATAACTACTTAATAAGAAGAGCTTACACTCTAGCAAATTCGGCTATAAGAAATAAGACTATAAAGAGTAATAGTCTAAGAGGATTAAGTGTTATAAGCATTATTACAAAAGTTATTAACGTTTTAATTTTGGTCATGTGACCTTGGTTTTGGTGGGGTGCGGGTGGCTCTGGCAAAGCGTCCCGTTACGCCATCCGTCCCGTTACGCCACGAGTTACGTTACTAAAAATTTATATGGCAAAAGTTAAAACCTTTAGTAACTTATGTAAAAAGACACTAACGTGGTTTACCACCAAACGGAACATCCCACCAAATGAAACACTTTCCGATAGCATCGCAACCTCAAACCCAATTACTCCACCACACCACAACAAAAAGATGCCTCAGAAAGCTAATGAAGGCCGAGTTTTACTAGCCATTCAAGCTACCAAATCACCCCACAAACTGTCCATCCGACGTGCTGCGCAGCTATATGAGGTCCCACATGTAACACTTACCCGTCGCATACACGGAAGCCAACCACGAGCTGGTAGACGCGACAAACAACGTCCATTGACCCCAATTGAGGAAGAGGAGCTCATACGATACGTACTTGACCTAGATTCGCGAGCATTTCCACCTCGAATTGAGGATGTACGAGATATAGCGAATCTCCTCCGTGCGACGCGTCGCGAACCCCCAGTTGGAAAAAACTGGCCCTACCGCTTTGTACACAATGAACCAAAGCTTAAGACGCGTCTCTCTCGTGCGTACGACCTCCAGCGAGCCCTCTGCGAAGATCCTGATTGTATAAGAAAGTGGTTTGAGCTGGTAAAGAACATGCAGGCGAAGTACAGCATCCAGGATGCTGACTTCTACAACTTTGATGAGACGGGCTTTATGATGGGTGTTATCTGTGGGAATATGGTTGTTACGAGCTCAGATCGAAAAGGCCGAGCAAAGCAGCTTCAGTCTGGTAATCGGGAATGGGCAACAGCGATTGAATGTGTGAGTGCAGACGGCTTTGTAGTGCCTGCATACTTGATTGTACAAGGCAAGCATCACCTTGCGCCTTGGTACACAGAGTGCGGCCTTCCACCTACTTGGGCCATCAAGACCTCACCAAATGGCTGGACCGACAATGATACAGGTCTAGACTGGATAAAACACTTTAATCAGCATACACGTGTACGAACACAAGGGGTCTGGCGGATGATTGTCCTAGATGGCCATGAGAGCCACCTATCTGCCCAGTTTGATATGTACTGCAAGGAGAACAACATTATTACGCTCTGTCTCCCTGCGCACTCCTCACATCTTACCCAGCCTCTTGATGTTGGGTGTTTTAGTGTACTAAAGCGAATGTATGGTCGAGAACTTGAGGTCTTCATTAAGGCCTCTATTACCCATATCACTAAGATTGAGTTCTTTATTGCATTCAAGGCTGCCCACGACCATACAATGACAACTGAAAATATCCTAGCTGGCTTTCGAGGTACTGGCCTAGTCCCGTACAACCCAGAAGCAGTTCTCTCAAAGCTTGATATCAAGTTACGGACGCCAACACCAACTGGATCCCCCCTACTAGAGGCTGACCCTTGGGTCCCTCAAACGCCACAAACCCCAGCTGATGCAATTTTGCAGTCTAAGTTTGTACAGAATAGAATTGGAATTCATCAAGGAAGCTCCCCAACAATGATTTTTTCAGCTGTAAAGCAGCTGGTGAAGGGTACAGACCGCATTGCGCACCAAATGACCCTTATACAAGAGGAGGTCCGTACCCTTCGAAAGGCCAACACAGCACTTTCAAAGCGTCGGAAAGCCAAGCGTACACGTGTCCAAGATGGAGGGTCACTTACTATAGAAGATGCTCAAAAACTGATCGCTGAAAAAGAGGATAAAGGGTTGAAACGACAGAAAAGGTCAAATGAGGAGGGTGCTGTAGAGGCTGGTCCATCGACTTCGCGGCGCTGTGGGAGGTGCGGCAAGACTGGGCATAATGTACGAACCTGTCAAGAGGTTGAAGAGATATTAGGAGAAGAGAATTCAATTGAGTGTAGTTAATTTTAATGTGTTAGGGTGGAGTAATTGGGTTTGAGGTTGCGATGCTATCGGAAAGTGTTTCATTTGGTGGGATGTTCCGTTTGGTGGTAAACCACGTTAGTGTTATTAGCGTCTTTAGATATAGTAGATGACTATTTAAAGTTCCTATATATACAAGGAATATGCTCTAGCCTTTTTATTAAAGGAGTTATTAAGGTTCTAATTTTCGCAAGCATAAGTACCTCCACATACAAATTTGTATGTGATGGTACTAATAGCCGGTCTGGCCATGTAGCCGGTCTGACCACGACCTACGTTAGCGACAGTAACGTAAGTCGTGGCGTAAGCGGCGATAAGTACCCTTATATACAACTTTGTATGGAAAGGTACTTCTACATCCAAAACTAAAACCTTAAATAGCTCCATGGATAAAAATCGTTAGGCTTAGCTGTTCAATATTTAGGTTCTATATATAGGCCTTTACCTAATATAAAAACGCTAGTATTGCTAGTGTGATTATTATGCTTCTATTAGTAGGAGAAGATTGCTCATACAAATATTTGTATGAGGAAAACTTAACCCTTAAATTAGCATTGCAAAAAGACACTAGCAATACTAGCGTTTTTATATTAGGTAAAGGCCTATATATAGAACCTAAATATTGAACAGCTAAGCCTAACGATTTTTATCCATGGAGCTATTTAAGGTTTTAGTTTTGGATGTAGAAGTACCTTTCCATACAAAGTTGTATATAAGGGTACTTATCGCCGCTTACGCCAGATCGCCGCTTACGCCACGACTTACGTTACGCCATTAGCGACAGTACGCCACGACCTACGTTAGTTAGGCCATTTGGCTAGAGACCGCACGCAGGTTTAAGTTAAAAAGGGAACAGTGGGACAAAAGTTTGTTACTAATTTATGATGGAATCATTATGTAACTTATACATAGATTATTACTAAGACCGACGTTCCAACTTCCTCTAGTTACCTCTAAACGCCTTTCGCTGAGTAAAACCCAAGTTATTACGTTACCGATATACCCACCCACCACCAACTTCATGATAACAGTTGCTTCAAATACGACATATAGTTTTAACCCTTTTCCAGTACACCCCCCCATCTACGCCCCTACCCCAACTTGAGTATCATTTCATTCGCCAACCGTCAAGAAAGTAAATTCTGGAGTGAAGGACTCGCACTCGCGCCACCGTTCACCCGACGACTAGGAGCATTGTCCCCATTGTGATTTATAGGTTCACGGCTGATTTGAGGACCATCCCGACGTGCCTGAGGGCTCTCATGGGGCCCTCCAAACGCTTGACGATACGGCGAGTGAGTTCCATGTGGAAATGAAATTTCCAAAGCTCGTGGGGGAGGGCCTCCGTTGGTCAAGTGCTGTGGGGGCGACGGTGCATACGGCGCGTATACACCGTGCTGTATCGGGTGAATACCAGCGGCAGATTTATGTGGCGATGACGGATAGCTGCTATTTGCTACCGAAGGTAATGATCCGTTCACATGAGGTGATCGTGGAATCATTGGGCCAGGTAGGTGCTGGCTGGTCGCTGGAGGCCCTCTCGGCGAGTGCGAGCCGTTGCTGTACTGCCTTAGGGCGATATTTGAATTTTGAGATGCCGGAGATACGCGGGACCAGTCCCCGTAACCGCTCGTTGGTGGATATGCCGGATGGCCCCACGAATATCGAGATCCCGCGTGCATATGAGTTGGTGGCACAGGAGGGCTTGCTAGCGTCGACGAGGCAGACACTGGTATAGAAGGCGGTAGGCGTGGCTGCGGTGCGTCGTCCTCCATTTTCGGCGCTGGTATAGCTGGCGAAGTTTGGGGTTTTTGAACTTTATTCCAATGACATTTGTGGCACTGGAAAAGCTCCAGCATATTGTTGGGTGGCCTCTCGCACAGTGCGGCCGCGGCCAAAGCAACCTGCTGCTTAGGGTTACTTCCCAAAATGGCGTTGCCCAGGTCCTTGGAAATATCATCTATTTGATTATTGGGGGGCCGGTGTTCATAAAGCTGCTGTTTCAATGGCCCAGGCCTGGTAACGGGCAGTGCTGGATATGGCCACCACTTTGGACTCACATCAACCCCGCAAGTATCACAGACTTTCGCCGGCGACTGGAGGTATGTGGGAGCCCTGAGTGCCTCAGAAGCGCTTGTAGTTTGCGTGTCTTCTGGTTTGATATTCGAAATAGAGCCTCTCCCGTTGCTGCTTATAACAGTTGTAGAAGCTCGGCGGTTGGATACCGTCGAGGGAGAAATGGGAACTGCAGATATCTTGGTTGATTGGTTGACCAGCGTCGCTTTGCGTACAGTGCCTGTTAATGCTAGATCCGCTTGCTTGAATTTCTGGACATAAAGCTGCAAGGCATTCAAACCATTTTCATCCACAATATCATGCATGTGGTGAACGATAGTCTTGGTAGGGCAGTGGTCCTTGCACCAAACCGCAGCTGTCATGGCACCCGATTCGCCATTGATGTTCACAATGTTTACGTGATCTCTGCGAGAGCCTTTGACAGGTGATATATCAAAGCCCAGGACGTACCCTGCTTGATGGGAACACTCTACATGGACTATGGATAGTTAGCGTGACAATAAACAACTAGAGGAATTGCTTACCAGGAGCCCGGCACGACAGGCAAGCCACACAGGCCCCGTTATTAGTTTTACATATCTTACAAGTCTCGTCATACCTAGCGGAAGGAATTGAAGGGATTCCTTCTGAACGTTCTAGGGCCTTGCCTTGGCCAAATTTGACTTCTGGTGTCCAAACTGCACAGGTAACATGGACCCAGTTGTTGTTCGCTGTTCTTTTCAAAGGTTCTCTTGGAATAAGCGGACGGTTCATCTCTTCTTGCTTTTTGCTGTAAAACTCCGCTGCTTTGATTGCAAGTTCCCTCTCCACGCGGTCCTTTTCCCGGTCTTTGTCGTTCTTTTTCTTGTGCGAGGGTTTTATTGGTTCCAAAAAGTCCTGCGGTGTTGATTCGATAGGGCATAACATGCATTTATATTGCTTTAACTAGTGAGTAAATAGGTACAGCAGGAGGTGCGGCGATGTAACTTACAATAGAAACTTGTGGATTTCGGTCATTTGAACACATATCGCAGGTCCATTTGGCTGATCCCCGTGTGTCCGCGGCCACACCATAACAATTTCGGTGCACGGTCATTCGACACTCTCTACAGGAGAGACGTTGGGCTGCTGGCTCCATTTGCAAACAAATTGCGCAGGGAAGAGATTTTTGTTTAGGAATTTCCGGGACAGGCGGTGGAGCAGGTGGTTTTTCTGGTGCTTTCTTCTTCTGCTGTGCAAGCGCAGGCCCAGAGTTAGGATCGTGTGGTGCCGAATCAATCTGGTCTCTTTCACTATTGCTCTTTGGTTTTTTTCGCGGGGCCTCCTGGACTGCTATCAGAGAAGCAGCTTGGGGCGCAGGAGTTCCATTTAAAGGAGTGTTGGCCGTATCTGTATTATTAGCCGTCCAACTGAGGTCGCTTAGATGGAATTCCCTCAATGGATCCTCTGCCTTCCGCTTATTAGACCGACCACCTTGGGAAGATTTCTTGCCATGGTCATCTATGTCTTCCCATTGCACCGCATACCTTCGCCATATCACCGCGCAGCTGAGACAAAGGGCTACGGTCAATTGCGTATTGTTGTCCCTGCCCACTACTTTGTTGGTCGGGTCAGCTGCTACGGTGGTTCCAGCTGGTGTCCCAGGAGCGCGCTTCCATTGCCGAGAATTGCGCGTCCAACAGAATTTACATTGAAAGCCTCGTTTCTTCTCCTTTGCCTTATCATTGTCGAAAGCTGAATCGTCTTGGTCATCAGCAACGTCATCTTGCAACTTGCCCGCGTTAACTTCAACCTTCTTCGCCTCCTTTTTCCCTTTTCGGCCCGCGTAATTGCCCCAAATCTGCTTTCCACGCTCCGTTTTCTTCCAGATGTAATAGAATCGAACTATATTCGCAGCGCTGACGGTTTTCACATGCTTTTTGACGCTATGCAGCTCGGAGCCAAATTTGGCTACGCCATCCTCAAACTTTTTAACCTCTGTCGGTGTCAGGTCAGGTTCTTGGAGATCTTTTCTTTCCACCTTAGCCAGTTCTTTCAACGCCCGATCAACATCGAAACTTGCAGAGTCAAGTATACTCAATGCTTTATCCAAGAAGTTCACCGAGTAGGCCCTGACGCCAATTTGCTTGGCAATATCTTCGCTGCTCTTGAGATACGCGTCAATCAATGCCTCATTGTCGCCGTTTTTTGCCACGTCTTCAGTTGCCTCGGGTTGGAAGAGTAACTCAGCCGTGCTATTCGAACTTCCTCTGGCATGGTCCTCTCCCCGATGGACGTAGCCATGGGGTTCGTCCATGACCCATTTGGGTCGCGTTTCTCTCGCTAGTTTTTCTGCGTCGAGCGCGGTGATAGTTTCCTTGGAAAGCTTCGCATCCTTCTTATGGCCTCCCCCCTTCATATACTTTCTTTTGACCTCAATTGGTTTAACAAGTTGTACGGGCCTGCCAGGCCAGGTCGGTACATTTGCCTGGTGTCGTGGCCCGAGGCGAGAGCTTGCACGGGGATAGATGCGATCGTCGTAATCCAATGCATCCTCGACCTTGCAATGCACCCCTAGATAACGGAAGGGCCATAAGCTTGCTTGGTAAATTTGTTCCTCAGTGCCAGGGTGAATCGGTACATCCTCTTCCACTGATCCAACAGGACTGCTGCTGCCTGTGCTTCTTTCAGTGCCATGAAGTAGTAAATCTTCGTCTTCGTCTTCATCATCCATCATTTCATCGTCTTCAGCATCGGCGCCTGTATCCGCAACATTGGGGGTGTTCCTCGCCTCTAACTTCCGCTCTTGGGCGCGACTGCAAGGGCCACATGCCCAAGCAAACCCGCGTGATGGTTTCTTCAGTAATGGCGGCCGTACACAATTCATGTGATAAGTCTGATGGCAGACTGCACAATCGACGGAATTGTTACTTTGCATTATTAGTCATAGCAACCTGGTTTAACGGAGTCCAAAACATACCTCGCGCAGAACCCATTACATCTCTTGCAGGACTTGACCGCACTGGTCAATTCTTTCCCTCTCCCAGATTCTACCAGAATAAATTTCCAACGGTCATCAAGAACCGTCTTCACCTTGGCCGGGACATTTACTACCTGTCGTGTAGGTATTACCTCGTAATATCGGTGGATATACCGGTCGAAGAGTTTTTCGTACCAGAAACAATTCTGCGTCCTCCTGTACTCGTCCATATTCTCCACCTCTGATTTGTGCTTTATTTGGCACAATCCACGGAGGGCGGTCAGAGGGCTGATATCAGAATGCATGGAGGCGAATACCTGTCGCGTATCATTCACCTTTCGTCCGATATCCTTTGGTCGGTAATACCAGTTCATTCTCACGGCATCAACAGGCTTCGTAGAGTCATTACTCATGTGGAGAAACTCCATGATTCGTCCGAGGTAATAAGGCTCTCCAGGAGGCTCGCAAACCAGATAAACATGGTCTATTGTGAAATTAGTTACGCACTTAAAGGACGCCTAAGAACTTTGCATGATGGACTGTACAGTTACTTACCATTTATGCCCAACGTCGTGCCATCGTCAGCGATGAGCTTGCCATTTTGGAGTCGTGCCCCGCAATTATCGAAGCTCAGCATAAATGACTCTTTATATGCCTGGGAATTCTGCGGTAAAGTACTTTTTCCAGTTGCCGTGGTCGTGCCCATGTTTCCAGTGGTGTGATTGCCATTCGCAATACTCGATGTCGGGTTTGTAGTAGCTTTGCGCTTTTTGGAAGGTTGCGCAGGATTAGCCCCCGCAATGTTGGCTGAAAAGGTCGAGGTTCCTGGTATATGGTCTTTTGGCACCAGCTGCGCAGCGCTGTTCGGATCCGGTACTGTCCCAGTTGTTTTTCGACCGGTCGCTCCTGAAGCGGCAGATTCCAACACGTTTGGTCGAGCGTCCAAAGAACGAGCAGATTTTCGGGCATCATCTTCCTTTACAGGAGGCTGAATCTCAAACTCCATATCCATCTCTTTATCTTCTGCGTAGTTTGGTCGAGACACGCCCGCCCTGTTCCGGGATCGCGTGCCGTAAGGCGCGGCGGATGAAGTCGCATCTTTCGGCGGCGGGCTTGATGATGAAGCTGGCGCCGCAGTTGCCTGCAGCAGAGGTAGATTTGGATGCGCTTTGGCTGCCGTGTCGGAGGCGTCGGAGCTATCCAGAGGTATGGCAGCACTGGAAGGCGCACTTTCGGTGGGTTCGGCCGATTGTTTTTGTGGTCTGCCAGAGCTATCGCTGTCCGCACCACCGACTGCTGCGGGGGGATGCGAAGGAGTCTCCATTCCGAGATGACTGTCGTCCGGGTTAGACACAGACATAGCTGCGTCGTCGTCGTCGTCGTCGCTTGTCGTTGTGTAGTGTGTGGAGGCCTGCTGCCTCTCCCATCAAGAGTTGCACTTTAATCCGTTTTGGCGTCTCTGTGACTGGATAAAATCCGGCCCATCAGGTTTAAATGTCAGTGTTGGGCGCGACCTGGTGAAAGATGCTCCAAGGAGTGGTTGTGCCGTAGTAATTGAGCAAACTACGTTGTTCCCTTCCTTATCCAACATAAACAGCATGGAATATGGCGCCTGTAGCAATGAGACCAGAAGCAGAATCTATGTATCTTTTGCTGTCTGAATAGCTTCCCGTATAAGCACAAATGGGCGAGTGGTGTCGAGATGTGGGCGCAAAGAGATTCGCGACTACAACAAAGGAACGGCTGTCGGTGTGGAATGGAGTCGGACAAGGAAGGTGAAGGACAATGTAGTGTCTGAGGAACGAGACGAGACGATGCGGCCGGCGATGGCTCGCTAAACCAGGCTGGCTGGCTAAACCAGGCTGGCTGGCTAAGGCGGCTCCAAACCTGACCATCGGAGTGGGATGGCCTCTCATTGGCGCAGCTTAGTATTTTCACTCCTGTATCAATATTCGTGTATACAATAAAGTGTCGAATGATGGAAATATTCGACAAAGTCAACAAACCACAGACCTAATCCGAGACTCCTGAGGGCCTACGTACAGTTTGTTATACTAAATCTTATGGCCAGCCTTTATTCTCCATGCGCAAATGCAATTCGACGTTAATAAGTGCCAAGAGAGCACACTTGTGGTTCTATGCACGTTTGCCCAGGCCCCATGTTTTTTTCGTGAGCGTTTTACTCTCATCGTCCAGGTATACCTATACTGATGCACGTCTATACCTATACTGATGCACGTCTATACCTATACTGATGCAAGGCCAGCCTGTGCCTCCCGACTAACCCCGCACGCCTCTAGTATTCCATGTATGGCCACATACACATACACAAGGTTGCCCTTGCTGAGCAGGAAGGTCTGAAGAAGGCCGGCATTAATGCTGACCTCTACTAGTAAGGATAACACCACCATTCTCCTGGTTGAAACCATTATCTCACAAGCAGTGGGCTAACTTGCTTACCTCCAACGTCCCCGAGACGCTGCCAGAGGATGTCTTGGCGAAGATGCATGCTCCAGCCAAGCCCCAGACGTGCCCGTAATCACACCCGACATCGCGCTGGAACTTATGCGGTAGGGAAGAATTCCTATTGATATGTTTTGAATTCGGAAGCTGACAGGCGGACCAGCAAGGCGAGAGCTTTGGAGCTACGCTCAACAAGACCAGCTTTTAATTACCACGCGTCTATTCGAAAGGAACGGTCGAATAGAGTGAGATATAGTATCGGCCTGCAAGATCCCGGAACGAAGACGAAGTGGACTGGGTATACTCTGTATAGCCCACCATATCTGGCTGGATCAACAATGGAAGTTGCTGCTGTGTTCCGCAGATTACATGTTCTCGCATCTGGATTTCTCACTGTGAATATATGTTTTTATTGATGTAGTGATATTTAAGTTGGTAACAACCCCCACCATGCCCAAAGTAGCCTAGTGCAATCGATGTGAAAGGCTGCATTTTCAACCCTTATTCAGCCATCCTGAATGAAAAACCTAAAAGGGATACAACTATGAGTGTAGGCGAAGGTCGATAAATCAAACACTCGCTCATGTGGAGACCGCGACACAGCACCTGCGACAAGGCCATTCGGGGTCGAGCTCCTCTATTTGTCTATTCCCGCCTGTGTAGTAGAAGGAAGGCTTACGGTCGCGACGATGTTACACACGTGACACAGACATCCCAGTATTCATCACAAACCAAAATCCCCAAAGTTCCGAAAGCCCCCAAAAGGAAACCGCCAACCAGCACTTCTTTAGAGCTTAAAGACCTGCCGCAGGGGCTACTTCACTGCGCATCTGTCAGTGTACCAAGCCAAGATGAGGCGCCGGCGTACCCAACCGTGGTACTTCAGGCCCAGACCAATATGAGAAAGTTCGAAAATTGTGTTCTTCTCACACGCGTTGGTGGATTTTATGAACTCTACTTTGAGCATGCGGAAGAATTCGGTCCCCTCCTTAATCTCAAGGTCGCCCAGAAAAAGACAAATGCTGGCCCCGTGTCTATGGTATGTCAGCCCTTCTGATAGCTGGTCCACTCTAACTTCCACAGGCAGGTTTCCCATTCTTTCAGCTTGATAGGTTCTTGAAGATACTAGTTCAAGATTTGAATCGTTATGTTGCGATTGCCGAAGAGTTTGCCAACGATGCATCAACCAAAGTTAAATCAGGGGGTCTGCTTCATGACCGAAAGGTCGCGCGCATTGTTACCCCAGGAACTTTGATTGATGAAAACTTCATCGATCCTTTAACAAATAACTATGTCCTCGCAATCCAGCGCGGCCACAGCGTTTCACAGACAGAGCTGAGGGACGCAGACGATCTAGTTGGCCTGGCATGGTTGGATCTTTCAACGGGTAACTTCTACACACAGTCGACAACGTTGCCATTGTTATCGAGTGCTATCTCGCGAATTGGGCCACGAGAAATCGTACTTGAGAAGGATCAAGAAACTTCGGCAGCTGATGGTTTACTGGCAGTGCTTAGTGACGATCGCCACGTGATTACATACTGCTCAGTGGGAGAAAGAAAGCCAATGGCTTCGTGGGGACTGATGTTGGAGAGCAAGATGCCTGCTGATATAGCAGCAGGTTTTGCATCGGAAGAAGTTGATGCTGGAAGTCTGCTGTTGGAGTATGTTGGAACTCGCCTACAGGGCTTGAGTCTGAAGCTTCAGCCTCCTATTCAATACCGTTCACAGGAGATCATGGCTATAGACAGAAACAGTCTACGAGGCCTTGAGATAATGGAGAACTATAGGGATGGCACCTATGTTGGGAGCCTGCTTCACGCACTGCGAAAAACCGTCACAAAGAGTGGCTCTCGACTACTGAAAGAGTGGCTTGGTATGTTCAAAACCAGTAAGAGAAGAGCTTTTCTAATATGCACTAGGTGCTCCCTCGACATCACTTCAGGTGATAAACGACCGGTTAGATCTTGTAGCCCACATACTAGGCGAAACAGCTCTCCGAGAACGACTGATGGCCCTGCTTCGACGTTGTCACGACTCTCAACGTCTAGTCCAGAAGTTTGCTCTAGGAAGAGGAAATGCAGATGATCTTTTAGCTTTGTCAACTACCGTATCGGCAACGCAAGAATTGGCGTCAACGATACGAGCGACGTTACAGGAGGGGCCAGGCTTCCCAGAATCCTCCGCCCCAGACTCCTTATCACGCCTCCTTTCACGCATTGAGCTCGATGGCCCGCTCGCTCTAGCAAGCAAAATCAGAAATGCGATTGATGAAGAAGGCGTTGTACAGCAACATAGAATAGAGGATGAAGAAGCAGGAACGATCATGGAAATGGCGGAACATATTGCGACATCCGAAGGCTCTACGGACGATATTGCAGCAATAAAGCGAGGCCGAGGCAAGAAAGCGACAAAAAGCATACGAGAGCACTATAGTGAGGACACTCAAGTCTGGATCATGAAACCTCTAGCAAGTACAGCGTTGAAGAGATTGCATGCAGACCTGCTGAGCCTTGATGAGGACAAGGCAAAATTGCATGACAATCTCCAGCGAGAACTCGACGCAACAACCCTCGCGCTTCGTTGGACGCCTGGCTTGGGCCATATATGTCATGTGAAGGGAAAAGATGCCAAGCGTATGGCAGAAATGAGAAGTGTCAGCTCTAGCAAAAGCACCAAGTCATTCCACCACCCAGAGTGGACGGATTTGGGCCGAAGAATAGACCAAGTTCGACTTCAGATACGCGCCGAGGAACAGAGGGTTTTCCAGAAGCTTCGTGAGGAGGTTATCAAGATGTTGGTCAAGTTGCGCCGCAACGCCACTGTCCTGGACGAGCTAGATGTCGCCTGCTCGTTTGCGACGCATGCAAATGATCAGGGCCTTGTCCGCCCTGTTTTGAATAACACTACCGCCCATAAAGTTATGGGAGGCCGCCACCCCACGGTCCAGGTTGGTCTACAGCAGCAAGGGCGAACTTTCGTCACAAACGACTGCCTTGTTGGCGACGACGACTGCGTCTGGATCATAACAGGACCAAACATGGGGGGGAAGAGCACGTTTCTTCGTCAGAATGCTTTGATCACAATAATGGCTCAGGTTGGCTCTTTCGTACCCGCTGAATACGCAGAAATTGGTATTGTAGACCAAATTTTCAGCCGCGTTGGTTCTGCCGATGATTTGTACCGCAACCAGTCGACATTTATGGTGGAGATGATGGAGACCGCTACGATATTGAAGCATGCCACGGAGCGTAGCTTCGTAATAATGGATGAAATTGGCCGTGGAACCACACCAGAAGACGGCATTGCTGTGGCATTTGCATGCCTCCATCATTTATACCACGTCAACAAATGTCGCACATTGTTTGCAACGCATTTTCATGCCGTAGGGGACATGTCACGTCATATGGAGAAGGTAGGTTACTGGTGCACCGATGTTGCTGAGGACAAAAACGGGGGATTCAGTTACATGCATAAGTTGAAGAGAGGGGTCAATAGGAAGAGTCATTCATTGAAGGTAGCTAGGTTGGCAGGTTTACCAGAGGCTGCAATTGACATCGCACAGAGGGTGTTGGATGAGGGACCTGGAAAGTAATTAGCAGATGCTAAGTAAATTGTAATAGTTACAACAATGGTTGGATGTGTTCACATCATAAATAAGTTGTTGTATGGGGGTTTGTCTTCATTGAGATCAGGGTTAAAAAGCAATTTTGATAATCATGTGAGAGTTGCGACAGAAGTAAAAGTTTAACTGACCTCTAATAACGTAGACTTCGACCACTGGATTCTACTTTGCTGGCTGTTTTGGATGTCACATCAATGAATCGAAATGCGGAACGTGGACTGGTTTGTAAGGCAGTATCAAGCTCGATTCGTATATCTGAGTAATTCAGAACTACGAAAGGCAGACTCTGGCTTAATCGAAGAGACCACCGAAGCCCTCATCACCGGACTCCTCCGCCTCAGACTCCTCCTTCTTCTCCTCAACGGCAGCGGCCTTGGGGGCATCAGAGGTAGTGGCGACGGCGGCAGAGGCGAACTTCTCTGGGTTGGCGATGCGCTCCTTGAGCTCCTCAATCTCGGTCCAGCTGTACTCGGTGGAGACGGCAACAGCCAGAACGTTCTTGTAGCTGTTGACAACGGAGTGCATGACGGAAGGAAGGGTTGGGAAGTTGACGGCGAGCGAAACGCAAGCGATGGTGGTGATGGCGCTGGAGAAAGCCTTGAGGAGCTGCTCCTCGCTGATATCAAGGACATGAGGCGGGAAGGTGTTGCCGTTGTCGTAAACCTGAGAAATGCCCATTCCGTAGGTGAACGGAGAGATGTTAAGCATGTTCAGGAGGGTAGCCTCGGAGGCTCCGACCTTGGTACCGGCCTCAACGAGCTTGAGATCAGCGGTAATTTCGATCGTACCACGGGCAATCTTGGTTGGGACACCAAGAGCCTGGAAGAAAGAGGTCTTTCCGGGCTCCATGCCGGTGTTACCAGCTGGGACGAAGACCTGGCAGGAGGTTAGTAGATATACTTTAGCAAATAAGAAGTTGATTTTAACATACGTCATCTGGTGCAACAGCGCCAGCTCTGGCTGGGGCGGCAACCTTGTTGGCAAGGATCTTGTCACGAATATCCTTCAAGTCGCTGTTGGTGAAGACGAATCCAATGTTGCCCTTGACGAATGGAAGAAGGCGCTCCCACTCTGGGGAGTCACCCACGAACCCCTTGATGGCACGGCGGACCATGGTGTTCTTTCCCATGAGGACAACACCCTCTCCGCGGAGAGACTGTCTGATCTCGTGCATCTGCTGGGAGCTGACATTGTCGACGGAGACAATGAAGATGCTGCGATACTCCTCGAGAAGGCCCTTCAGCTTATCGAAATAGCTGGCCTTGTTTGCGGTCTTGCCCCCCATATCTTCTTAGTGTGAAGGTAGGATGTTTAAGGGTCAAGATATAATTGAATTGAAATAATGCGCCCGGAAATTGGACTGCTTGTATGTTGATGATATCGCAAAAGAGGTCCTCGGCAAATATTTTTGGGTTTGTGGTACTCTAGGGTTTCCTTTCGGTTAGCACACAAGAATAATTCATGCCCCAGGCCTCAACGCTAGGTTGGGACTTCTGGAGCTCTTTTTCGAAATTCCTTATCTCATCTTAGTTTGGAGGGGAAAAAGGCATCTCAGCGCCAATATTAAGTGACTAACTAGCTTTGTAACAGAACCGAGGCAGCCGGGGCGTCATTGAGATCTTTTCGTGGACGGTTTGAGAGGGGCAAAATACTCGCACATCGCGCTTCATACAGATTGATTTCCACTACCAAAACTTAACTTACCACACGTCAAGATGTCACACAACTTTGAACCCATCCAAAATGATCTTATTTTGCGAGCCGCCCGGGGTATATATCATTCATTCATTGCATCCACTTCCCCATATGATATATGATGCGAGCCGTAGACTAACCTATACAAGGAGAGGAAGTGGAACGGGCACCTGCGTGGGTGATGCGTCAAGGTAAACATATGGCGCCCCCAAATCAAACTATCCAACCTAGCATGCTTACACTTCAATAGCTGGGAGATATTTGCCGGAATATCATGAAGTTAAAGGTGGGAACGACTTCTTTGAGTGTTGTCGATCACCAGATATCGCCTCGACTCTTACCTTGCAACCAATTGAGCGCTTTGCTGGCCTCATTGACGCCGCCATTATATTTTCTGATATCCTTGTCATTCCACAGGCTATGGGCATGACTGTTGAAATGATTGACAAGAAGGGACCTCATTTCCCTGAGCCACTCACGTCGCCAACCGACGGCCGGTATGAAACTGTCATGAAAAAGGAAGTGGACGTTGCCAAGGAGCTGGATTATGTCTACAAGGCCATAACCATGACCAGGCACAAGCTGAAAGGCCGCGTTCCGCTAATTGGCTTTTGTGGGGCGCCATGGACTCTTCTCTGCTACATGGTAGAGGGTGGCGGCAGCAAGCTCTTCATTGAAACAAAGACTTGGGTATTTAGACATTCGCAAGCAAGCAAGGACCTTCTCCAAAAGATTGCCGAGGTTTGCGTTGAACATCTTGCTCTTCAAGTCAAAGCAGGCGCACAGGTACTATCCTCGAAATTTCTTCCGTGGCAATGATAATACTAACGCCGCATTAGATGGTCCAAGTTTTTGATTCTTGGGCAGCCGAGCTTTCTCCAGCTTCGTTCAGACAATTTTCTCAGCCATATTTGGCTTATATCTCAGCAAATTTGCCCAAAAGACTTGCAGAGATGCAGCTCGACCCTGTTCCGATGATAGTCTTTGCCAAAGGCGCTTGGCATGCTCTTGAAGCTCTTTGTGACCTGGGCTACGACGTTGTTGGACTAGACTGGCTGCAAGATCCGGCCGCGGCCGTCAAAATTAGAGGTGATAGGTCTGTTGTCTTTCAAGGCAATGCTGACCCAGGGATTCTTTACGGCACGAAGGATGCGATTACGTGTGCAGTTACGAAAATGGTTGATGGATTTTATGGTGGTGGGAAAAAGGGATGGATCGCTAATTTGGGTCATGGTAAGCCGCCATTATATATTCCATATTTTGAAGCACTAACAAATGTGTAGGGATCACACCAAAGGTGAATCCGGACGACCTCAAGTTCTATTTTGAGGAAATCCGTCGATTGACGGCCAGCTAGGAAGTAGAACACAAATAATTCGTGTCAATATAGATGGTATATCTACCAATTTCAGTGTGATCCCTAATACTACTATGAATACATCTATAGGTCCTCTATCCTCACACAATCTTCTCGAGCTCTTCGCTCCCTTTCTTGGTGTAGTGCGTTAACGACGACTGCTTCTATTCTTTCCGCAACCACTTTACCCTCCGTTCGCTCAATAATGCCTAGGACCCATTGTAACCTGCCGCGGCTAACCGACCCCTTCTCTATGATATTCCCCTCGATGCCAATATCAGTTAACACACGAATAACGAGCCTGGATATGGGGACTTTATGTTGGTGTAAGTACCGAATGCACCATGCGACATTCCTGAGTGCAACTCTGTTCGAGATGAAGTCGACCTGCGAAAATTCGAAAGCCATCTTCTCCACTAAGCGTATTCTCGCCCAGTTTGTGTGTGTTTCCTTCCAGATCCGAAATCCCCCAAATAGGTCAAATATATCCCTTGGATTGCACGACGGGTCATGAATCATCGCAATTGCGAGACCCGGAAGTTTTTCGAGAGGAATTTCTCGTGTTCTCGGGCGATCTCTTGAATAGAGCCGCTGCAATTCCGCCGCGTGGCGCAAATTATTGGTATATAGTGCCGTCATTTCATCTTTGATGGTCGGTGCATTAAGGTAGATTTTGGCATGCTCGAGGCGTTTCAAACAGTAGTACACACTGGCACTTTCATTACCGCGGATGCGGCGTAACATTCGGAAATAACAGGCGACATTCTCGTCCCAGCATATTGCTTGTTGTTTAAAAGCCGTGCATAAATGAATAATAGAACCGTGAGGCCTGTGTTGACATAGAAATGAAGCCTTAAACGCAGCATGCGCTTTCACCATTGACGTACTAGGCGTTGTCCCTAACCAATATTCAAACATTATATCGCATAGGATATGTTGACGTAACCGCGGAAGGGTTATTATTGTACTGTTATCGTGATATTCAGCCCGTATTATCATGCACGCCTGTACCAGCAAACTTTCGGACGCGAAAGGTCCACGCGCTATGAGCTTGAGCAATGCCGTCCGCAGCTCCTCCCCTTCTCGTACTAGATTTTGTATGGACTTACTACTGCCAGAGAAGATGACCCTAATCGCGTAAACCGTGGATAGTTGAACCAGATGGCATATCTCCTTCTTTGCTTGCTCTTCAGGCGCATACAACCCAAAGGTTTCCATAAGGGCTCCAACTATGTCTTCCAAGCCGTATATGTCCAAGACCACCTTTCTGGGCGGCGAGTATTTTGCTTTTGCGGTTTCTGTAGATTGTGATATTTCTTCGGGGTGCGAGGCACTTGTATCAGGCGAGAAAAGTGAGCCTCTAATTGCATAAATCTCTTTTTTGAGCTCGTGCTTTTGTTTACCGGTGATGGACCGAAGAATATCTGAAATGAGAGCGGCGGACATATGTACCGGGAGGCGAGGCAGATTCGTGAGCAATAATCGTAAGACCTCTGGCTCAATTTCAGCCGGCCGCAGTACCTTACATGCCATGATGCCTCTCCATGTCGCCTGGTAAAATGAGATGCAGAGAGCATGTTCTATGTCCTTGCTAACGGTATTGTCTCGAATGAGGCGCGGCACTTCACGTATACTTCCGGCTAGAACAGCCGCAGAGACTTGCCCTAAGGACAAACTCTGCTTGAACGTTTGGCAAAATGTCCCACAGATATCTGAGAAATCAATGGATGTCGTTTTGGCGCGGATGCGGTCACGAAACCACTCCAAGTCGCCCGCAGCATTTGATTGTAAGACGGGGGCGAGGCCATCGTTGCTTTCCAGATGATTCTGGTTTGGATTATTGGCCGTCGACTGATCCAGATCCATCAACCAAGATGGTAGTTGATCCGTGGCAGCTCGTTCTGGCGGTTTATGCGGCGCCTCCCACTGCCAAATGTTGTTCTCTTTGGCGCCCCTGAATCCCCACAAAGCTGCGAAATCATGGGCGGGTGGTCGAACTGCCTCTGAAAAGTGAGCCATACGGCGTTTGCCTAAACGCCGCCTGCACTCCATGGGGCCGGGTACCGATGTCCCATGGCGTCTCGAGGGCCTCGAAAGAAGACATAAGCGCTGAAATGCCCATGCCAGGGTTGTGTCGGTGATCCATATCTCTTCCGATGGGACTCGTAGCTTTCGCTTCACTGCTGTGCAGCAGGGTGTCCGCCCCAGCAACATATAGTTGATCCAGATCTTACAAGGTCATTGGATAGGATCCAGTTGGCGCGAAATCTGTGTTGTTTCGAGATAGCGGATTGGAACGTTCAATTCGAGCCACAGAGCCACAGCCAGCGTAATGGTATAGTAGGAAGTGGCAGTCGATGCAGAGGTTCAGCTCGTCGCTTTTAATTGACAATAGATACTGCGTTGTTGTCGTGGGGTGGCTCTCTGGAGGAGGAATGTTGTCTGTCGGTGCTCAAAGATGAAGAAGCAACGACGACGATTTCAGCCAATCATAGTGTGGCTGGCACCTAAACCACGATTTTACTTATCGCCAAAAAATAAATGTAGATTGATGGTGCTCATAACGAGGAATTATACTTCTAGCTTTACGTCAAGTTTTGAAAACTCACGACCCTCCTTAAATTCGAAATATGTACGCTGCATACCAGTGTATTGAAGTTATCGGAGAGTTTGTTATTGCTGCAAGTGCTCACACGTTGCAAACCTTCAATCTCTGCAATGGGTCTCAGATCTCATCATGGGCATGCCCGGACCAACTGAATAAAACTGCCCTAGCCACTCAATCCGAACCTACAAACGATGAAGATGGGTTACAAGGCTCCGCTGCCCTTTCAATAGAAGCTACAGGATCAGATTCCAATCAGCCACCCAAAAGGAGGAAACTGTCGGATCCGAGCAACGAGGAATCCTCTTCCGTTGGCAGGGCGCCAAAAGGCGAGAAACCAAGAGCATGCTCGCAGAGAACAACTACAAAGACCTCTATATATCCTAATATTGTTGCATTGACGTCATCGAATGATGGAAAATATATAATAATAGTAACGGGAGAGGACAAGACAATTCGAGTCCTTCGGCACGACGGCGGCCATCTGCAACAAATATCCGAGAGGTAAGGTCTCTAGCTTGTTGAAATTAAGGCTCGGGGCTTATTCACTTTCAGGTCTATGCCAAAAAGGCCTTGCGCTGTTACACTATCGCCATCGGGCTCTGCGATCATCTGTGCTGACAAATTTGGAGATGTCTATTCACTTCCCTTACTTATGGATTTACCTGAAGGACAGGACGCCACGACAGCACCCTTAGTTGAGGATGAGAATTTATCCGAAAAACCCAAGCAATTTGTGTCCTCCGCGAATGATCTTACAGTTCACTCTGCACGGAATCGCAGAGCACTCCAGAACCAGCTGAAGCAGAATCTAGCCAAGGCAGACAAAGTCGAAGCCAATTTCGGACAACAGTTATTACTTGGACATGTTTCAATGTTGACAGATATTGCACTCGTTGAGGAATGTGGGCGCAATTATATTATCACTGCTGATAGGGATGAACATATACGTGTGTCTCGAGGAATTCCGCATTCGCATATAATCGAAGCCTATTGTCTGGGGCACAGCGAGTTTGTGAGCAGGCTATGCCTTCCAAAATCCGATCGTCGCCTCCTGATCTCAGGTGGAGGCGACGATGATTTATTTGTTTGGGATTGGCTTTCAGGGGATCTGCTCCAAAAGGTAAATATATCATCCCATGTGGAGCTTATACTACGCGGATTCTCTGGTGAAGGGTGTGGCGTTGGTATTGGGGCCAATGATGACTCCCACTCGCCGAAGGTCATAGTCTCGGGCATAAAGCATCTGCAGCAAGATCCAAACAGCAATTCTGGCAGTGTTGTTGTAATGTGTGAGGGGTAAGTGTTGATTGCGTGTAGCTGACTTGGATGCCTTGTGTCTAATTGGTTATAGTGTCCCAGCGTTGTTCTTCTTCGTATTATCCCCGGCTGGCATCCTTTCGCATTATCAAACTTTGCCTCTCAACGGAAATCCTTTGGCCATGGCTACAAGCGTACAAAACAATACTTTGATTGTTTCGGTTGACCTGTGGCATTGTCCCGGTTCGGTAGTTCAACTCAGAGACGTGAAAACGACAGGGGCGGAAGAGCCCTTGAAGGTCATCAAATCCGATGGCAAGGATTGGACTGTGGTGACTTCCCACTTTGGAAAGGTTGATATTACTGGTGTTGATCACCAAACAATGCCGGCGGCAAATGTTGACTGGTGGAATGTTCTCTACAATCTGGGAAACCTGCGGAAGCGTGCAGGATGGGAATAAGCAAATACGCACAATTTCAATTCGTAGACTTATGGACCAAGGTGCAATACCAAAGCTAATTGTTAACTGGTTCATGCCTACTACTCTTCATGATTTGTCTATATCACGCTTCGAAGCGATCAGCGATTGCCCGAATGCAATGTTCAGAGCTAATCACAATGTGCCCATAAAGTAAGGCCTGTAGAACCTAAGGGGAAGCATCATTGCTGTGATTCCATATCTGCCAAGTGGTCTAGTTGTCGATTACTGAGATGCACATTGGACTCTTTCAGCACCAGCAGGGTGTCCGTCCTCATCATCATCATCCATCATGCCATGGCCAGCAGCTCGTGCTTGCTGGCCTGCATCTACGTCCTCCAAATCAACTGCCTCTGTCATCGTCTCCGCAGGTGGCAAGACCGGCTGGACTGTCGGCGGCAGAATAGACTTGAGGGCATCGAATTCAGCGTGGTTGGCGGTCCAATTCTTCTCGGGGAATTTGACGTCGAACTGGATGTAAAGATTGCCGAAGTCGTGGTGACGATGTGAAGGCATGCCCTGGCCGCGTACCATTTTGACGGAGCCTGCGCAGTTAGTAAGATCCAACTACTCTGACGTGGGAATCCGCTGTAAGCTTACCTGGGCTTATAACTTCTCCGGGCAGAATATCAACACTGAGCCATCTCTCGTCCAGATGCTCGACGAAGATGTTTCCGCCAGCCAGAGCTGTGACGAGATCGATTTCTGCAGAGTAAAATATGTCGTCGCCCTTGCGTTGAAATCTTGCATGCGGCTTCTGTTCAATTTCAAACACAACATCTCCTGGTTGAACGCCTGGTGTTTGGTCACCTTCGCCCCGGAACTCGATCTTGTGGCCGCTCTGAACACCTCTGTCAACGTGAACGTGAAGAACCTTCCTTTCTACAACGGTCTTCTTGCCATTGCATTGCTTGCACTTGTCCTTCTCGCGAATGATTTCTCCCTCTCCGTTACAATCCGGGCAGACAGTTTGGAATCGCTGTATCATGGGACCCATTTGGCGCATCATAGTCTTCATGCCGTGCCCGTCACAGCCAGTACACTTCTTGACAGCACCCTCTTTGCCGCCTCTGCCATCGCACTTGGAGCAAATCACCGATTTCTGCAGTGCCAACTTCGAAACTTTGCCCCGGTAAATATCCTCTAGAGATACTTTGTGAACGTGGTGGATGGTGCGGGCTTTCGGTGGCCCACGCTGGCCCATTCCACCGCCAAACATACCACCACCACCACCGAAGAATTGAGAAAAGAGGTCCTCGGCGTTCATGCCGCCTCCTCCGCCACCTCCCTCGAGACCCTCCTCTCCATATTGGTCATAGATTTGTCTCTTCTGGGGGTCAGAAAGTATCTCGTAGGCGTGAGAGAGATCTTTGAATTTGTCGGCTGCATCTGGGTTGTGTGCATTCTTATCTGTACGGCAACGTCAGCTGGTGGAGGCTATTGAGTGGTGAATTTCGCCTTTTACCTGGATGGTGTTTTAAGGCTCCAACCTTATATGCCTTCTTCAGTTCCGCCTCAGTGCATGTTGGAGAGACCTAAAGCAAAGTTAGTAGTGGCTCCAGAGTCCGATGTGGAAGACTTGCATTAAGCAGATCGTAAAATTTGGTATCTTTCGCCATGTTGGTTCGGTGAGACCGTAGTCACAATAAGATCGGATATATCGGGTGAAGGCGAGGTATTGAAACGCAAACAGCGATGGCGCTACAGTCGATTGGCACGAGCGGTCCAGGTGTGGTGTCCGGCACGCAAGGTTATGGCTATGATGGTTGAACGAGCTGTTTGTTTAATGTGCTTGATGCACAGCTTATCTTATTATGATGGGCCGATAAAACTTTTTATGGCGCCCGGGGGGTTTGAATATGGGTAGAAGGGCTTATTGAGCGGTCGAAGATTTGGGGATGTTTTTTTTTGAAGAGGGGGCGTTTGATGGTGGGGAGGGGAGAGGATGAAGGTGGAATAAAATGAATGTCGAGGCTGAAAAAAGGCTCCAAGTGAAAAGGTGGAGGAGGCTAAGCGCAACTTTGAGTTGGATTTCTTTACTCAAAGGGACCTTTGCATGGTTAAAGCTAAGCCTAATGGAAATCCAGAGAATCGGATAGACTGTGTGGCGGTGCCGCGCGGGTGGCGGGGTGGAAAAGCTAGGCAAGAGGCGGAACAAATCGGACCACGCAAAGAAGGCAAGGAGAGCAACAACGATGCGATGAGGATGAGAATATGAAGAGCAATCAATACTATATTAGCTATAATCTCTATCTATCTCTGAATCCTGCAGATAGAGTACTCCGAGTTTCCAGTAAATACTATACTATCTGTGACCTTTGCTATCGTCACCACCTATCCTGTATACTCCATCAACTCCTGTTGCATCATTTCACCCGATTCATTCGGTGGAAACAAGATATCAATCGCATCCTGGGTAACACAGAGTCAGCAAGAGTGAATGAGCATGTTAACTGCCCTCGGACGCTTACCCAGTCAATTTCGGGCATCGAATATTCCATCTTTGTATTCAGCATTTGAACAGGGTTGGCTTGGCCTGGAACACCCCCCGAGTCACTACTCCCCGCAGGACTCCCATAACTAGGAAGTGCCCAAAGAGCCTCACCGTTGGAAACCCCAGCAAAAACAACATCAGGCACAGGCACTTTGCCGATCAAAGTGGGTTCTATGCCCGCTGCATCCCCATGTTGTGCACTGACGGACGATGCGCCTGAATTTATATTTCTATCAACTCGCCGTGGGGGCCGTTGCCCATCGTGCTTGAGCATTGCCGGTGATGCACGCATCTTGCGGAACTGTTGATACACCGTAGTCTTCTCTTGTAGTTCGCAGAGAACCTTGCCAGCTTTCATGTCCCGCGGCTCAGAAGGATCGGTTTCGAAAACGTAGTCCAGGCAATGCCAAATGCGGTCCAGGTTCTCGCCACACAACTGATACCAGATCAGTCGTCGAACTTGGGTCTCGATGGGGTTCAACCCATATGTCTCGCCATCTCGGTGGAGGCCCATGCATTCAGCCATACGAATTGCGTGATGTTTCTGCGCGGCACAGTTGGGTCTGATGCTGTTAGAAAGAAATTAGGAACTGACACGTCCATTTACTCACAAGGTACATAACAAATGCCTGCAAGGTTTCGACCTTCGTAGTGCGTAGAAAGTGAGACTTGCTAAGCGCTGTCTCTGTGACTTGAAGTTATTGATTAACCGGTACTTAGGCACACCGAAATCTCTCAAAATAACCATTTCGCTCATACTGACCGCCCCTGCAGCAAATACGATTGCCTGCACCGAAGTAGGAGGTTCAATTCCGAGCGAAATATCTTCCCAAAAATTCTCATATTCCTTCTCAAAGCTGGGATAGTAGAGCAATTGCGCGACAGGGTGAACGGCTGTATAATATTGTTTAACCAAGCGATCCGCTGCTAGCCGCGTAGGCAGGTAGTCAATGAGAGAAGAGCCACTGTCAGCATGACCAAAAACAAACCCCGAAACTGGCGCAATGTATGCCGGACTAGGCATCAGGTATTGGTAGGTTTGGGGGAAGTATTGATATTGTCTGGCGAGAGGGACGGCTTCGACGTATCATACAGGGAATACGCCAGTTCCTGAGCGAGGCGCGGTCGAAAGAAGCCTCCAATTCTCTCTGTAATTCTCATCCACCCTATTTGAATACCAAGATCGAGGAGATCATCGTCGGCGTCATCCTCGTATACGGCGTCCACAACGGCGAGCGGAGTTGGTTCCAGGTTTATCACATTTGAGCTTCCGTCGGCGGCATTCCAAACAAGATGCGGTTCCGCCGCCTAACACGAGTTTCTGGGAGAGCAGTAGCTACAGGGCTAGGACTAGGGCCACCTGTAGAATTAGAGTAGAACTAAGCGCCGGGAGCCTTAATATTCCATATGCAGGAGAAGGGTGGCCCGTTAGTTGATTTTCGGGTGGACCATTTTGCCACGGAGGATATGGATCCATATCCAGAATGAGATTGTGAATGGTTTAATCGTCGGAGTAAACGAAACGAGATGGACGCATGAACGCGCTAACAAGTTTAAGCTAGAATTTTCTTGTTGAAATAGACTTGGTTTCGTATCAAAGCCCCGAAATAAGGCTGCGTGCGAAAATAGACTTTGGTTCCTTGATGTTGGATTAGGATCATATAGCAGGCACAGGAGGCGTTGTTACGCCCGTAAGCATCGGGGAAACGAGGCGTTGCAATTCACGAACATTAGTCAGCAGCCAATAAGAACCGCCAAAAGTTAACTTGGAAATGTTTATACAGTATTTATGACATTCTGATATTCCCCGATAAACATTATTCGAATGTGTCTGGTCCCAAATCATTACAGCCTGAGGCTACATTTAGGAAGAACTCCAAAGTCTAGAGACAGAGAGCGCTTCGTAAAGGCTAATTTTCATTCTGTACATAATCGCAAGACATCATTCATCTTCTATCGGACGGACTTTGGTTTTGGACCTTTCCAACGCCACCTTGAACTTATCGGTAACCTCCCTTTTTCTTGAGAAGGAGCATTTGATAGTTGATTTATCTTCTTCTGTGAACCCCTCAAGTTTCTTTCGTGGCGGTGTCGGCTGATTTTGCGACCGTGTAGACGATGATAATGACATATGTAGGGCGCGGGACCCCTTTTTAGTGCCGTCTGGCGTGTATGGACGTCCAGATTTGGCGAAAGTCGTACTATGGCGCATTGCAGACTTTGTTGGGCTCGCGAATGGAGAGCCTTCGGGGCTGTTACGGTCATTGCTGGTAACCGAGCTGAACCGCAGCCTGCGCATTTGGTTTTCTATGACATCCACATCACCACTGCGTTTCTCTGCCATCGCTGTCATCTTCACAATCGTCCTCATAACGGCCTCGGTAGTTGGACCCGGGCCCGATTTCCCACCAGAGCCGATAAATGATGATATATTAGCTCTAAGCATAATAAGTTGCTCCTCGGCGTCACCAAGGAGCTTCTGGAAATGTGCCAAATCTTTCCGAAGGTCGTGTTGTTGTGCGATTTGCTCAGCTGTTAATGGCTGAGACCTGTTGATGTTGATGTGATCTTGATCGCGACTGGAAGTGATAACTATCAGGGCGTCCTCGGTGCGAGTTCGTAACTTAACTAATTCCTTGACGAAATTGGAACAAAGTTGAAGCTTGCTGTCAACATCCTTAATACAGCCTTGTTGAAGCTCCCTCGACAAGTCTTTCTCGATGATGCTAGATAGATTTTCGATTTCTCCGAGGCACCATGTCTCATCTCCTTCCAAGTCGGCTCTTTCTCGACCGGCGTCTTTGTAGTGCTCAGTATGCCCCTTGGTGAAGCTTCTCACTGTGTGTGAGTTTATACCCAGTGTGTCTATCATGGAATTAATATCACGGTAGACAGCTTCAACTTGGAACGGTATGCTATCTTTGTCTGCGCCGCCAACATAGTCCTGATGTGCGACAAACTCATCAAGCCTTGTTGTGCCCTCTACGTCTCTGCTGAGAAAGTCCTGCATCCTGTCATCTTCGATGTCCACCAAGGCTTGGGATTCTTCAGCTTCTTTCTTCTTGGACGCTTCCGTGCGTCGTCTCGCTTCTTCTTCTCCGTATTCACCGGCCTTCCCAAAAGCATTGCTAGAGATGGGCGCCGCTCGGGCACCCAAAAGCTTTGATGCTGCAATAGGGGCACTAACTGATCGAGACGCGTCCGGCCTACCAAGAAGCCTGGTTGGGACAGACGAGCGAATAGGGCTTGGCGATCGTGGACTTCCTGGTTTAGGCGGCGCCAAAACAGGAGTATTGCGGTTTCCAATTTCTCTAAAAAGTGATCTAGAGGGTGGTTGGTGGCCACTCAGAGGGCCAGTGGAAAATGCTGCGTTTCCACGATTTGCATAATTGGGCTTGTTAAAAGAACTTTCGGGGGTTAGACCTGGTGTATTCCCGTCGGCATTGGCAATTTCGTTCGCACTTTCTTGGCCACTCTTTTCTTCGTCGTCACTATAACTTTGATCCCCGACATCAGAATAATCAGAACCTGGGCCCTCTCCTGGGCTAAACGGCACATGGAGCAGGGGGGCAAAATCTGCTTGGAACGATAGGTTTTTGCTTTGTTGTGGCTTGTCTAGATTGAGTGTCTGGGTAGCAGACGGCTTTGGCAGGTTGATGAAATCAGGTGGCAGAGGTGCATCAAGTTGACCTTTGCCCGGAACATGGGCGTCGCTAACCCGTTGGCTCACTTGGGGAGCAACAACAGAAGGGCGTTCTGCCTTGGTCAGGTCGGGTAGATTTTGGCTAACATCGTCACTCGATTGTAATTTTGGCTTCGCGTCTGCAATATATGCAGAAACGGATGCAGATTCCCTGGTATGGCTGGCAGTGTCTTTCGATTCTGTAGTTCCGACTGGAAGCCCGAAGCTAAAGTTAGTCGAGCTTGGGATCTGCACATTTGGCGCCGCAGTGTTGATCGGTTTAGCCGCTGGCCCCCCAAGGCCAATAGCTTTTGGTTGTGGTGTCGGGAACTGAACTTTAGGGGTGGTTATGGCGGATCCAGTCCCCAGGAGGCCTTCCTCTGTTTTAATAATTGGTTCCGTAACAGTGTCTTTTGGAACAACAGTTGGCTCCTGCCCCAGATCAGTGGTATCATCCATAGTTGCTTCAGGACTAGAAACGATAGGTGATACCTGGGGCTCTCCCAGAGCCTTTCCGAATCCGCCGCCAAAGAATGGAGCACTTCCAGCTTTCTCAGTCCCTTGGCTATCGTCTTTGCGAGAGCTATCGGGTTTGAAGGCCGACCCTAAAGTGAAACCCTGGGAACCAAAGGTGCCTGCAAGTGGGGCAGCTGGAGTTCCACCATTGAAGCCAAAGCTGGATGTGTTATCAACTGTCTTCGGCGACAATGAGAAGCTTGTAGATTCCGATTTAGTTGCAAATATATTTCCCTGGTCTTTCTGTGATGTGCCCACAGCTGCGAACCCGCCATTGCTAGCGAACGAAGCAAAACCACCAGTAGCAGGAGCAACTGAACCGCCGCCTGACCCAAACACAGAGCCAGATGGCTTTGCATTACCCAAGCCTGTTGTTCCTGCCACTCCGAGACCTGAGGGTTGACCAAACGTGGTTGCTGGCGCTCCTGATCCTGCCGCGCTCCACGGAGAAGGTCGGCTGCCTGGAAGTGCAGAATTACCAAAAGCAACACCTCCCGCAGCCGGTGATACCGCGTTCCCAAAGGTAGGGGTGCCAAATTTTGGGCCACCAAAAGCTGGCGTGGCTGGCGTGCCAAAGGAAGGTGCTCCGAAGGCAGCTCCAGTTGTAGCTACCGGGCCGGAAGACGTGCTAGGCCAACCCGACGGTTTATTAGACTGACCCCCGAATGCGGTTCCACTACCAAAGGATGATGCGGGTTTGTTTGTGGCGCCAAATGCACTCCCTACATTTGATGGGGAGCCAAATGTCTGGTTAAAACCTGGTACGGAGGGTGCATTTTGGCTGGATGGAAGAGGCTGCATGGCACCACCGGGTTGGGACGCGGCCGCTGCAACCAAACCAGGATATGAAGTTCCTTGGCGAACAGATTCCGAATATACGACCCACCACGAAGCCAAAACCCCTTCGTTATTCAATACGAGCAAAGCGGGCAAAGGCGTTCGAGACTCGTCCATTTCATCACTTGGAATGGGTCTGGGAACACTCTCTCTAGAAGATAGATCTAGAATCGCTCCTATGGGCGATGTGTCTTCCATTGCCTCGTTTACAGGCAACTGTGCTCGCCGAGAATCATCCGACATCTCAGTCATAGTGAAGACATCAGTTACCTTATCAGCGGGCTTGTCTGAAACTAAAGGAACCGCAGATCTTGTGAAAAGCCCAATATCCGTAGACGCGGTGGACGACACAATAATAAGATCTCGAAGGTTCGGAGGGAAGTCTCTAAGGCGTAGTAAGAAATGATAAGGCGGGCTCCGGTTCAAACCAAAGTTTGGGGCTGGATCGGCCAATTTCTGAAAAATGTGCTCCGTTGACTTTGGTAGCCGAGTTACAAGATGGAATACAGAAGTGGACGCATTGTTGGCGTCGATATTCGACTGATTATGGACCATCATGAAGACGTCATTTTCTAGCCATGTGATAGAAGAGACTGCCAGTAAGGTTAGAATCGCGCGCTCCAAAAGATTCGATCATTGCATACCGTGGTAGCCGGGGTCAACACCTGGCGGCCTAGGAATTTGGGCTTTAGCCACACCATCGGGAGTCATTTGAAAAGCCGAGCCATCAATAAGGCCGGCGACCAGCTGCTTGCCTTTGGCGCTCCAGGAGATGCAGCTTACACCTTCCTTAAGGATCTGGCCAGTAGCGCCGGATATAAAATTCCTTTCTTTCAAATTTGCTACCATGAGTTTACCGTCCATGGTAACGATGGCTAGGAGTTCACCCTTTTCGGGTGTTGGGTTTGGAACTGCCGCTCGAAGGGGGGCCGAGTTTGTAGACATTTCAAAAGAGGACGTCTGGGAACCGTTCATAAGATTTTGGACCTCGTAGACAGCCAAGCCTCCTCCAACCTCAGCAGACAACACCAGGTACGTTTCGTCAGCTGTAAACGTCACCTGAGAGAGCCTCATAGGCATCGGAAGTGTTAACTGCGCCTGAAATGGGCGAGTGTGACTTTCGCCTATCAGTGGTCCTTCGTATGCTTTTCGTATTGACTCTGTCGTCGCTAATATAACACAATCTGGTCCTGCAGCGGCAACAAGCCCTTTTTTCGGAGCGATACTCATGAGGGATGAGGTAGGTGGAGGCAGGTTCGTGCTCGGCCATGGCGACGGAAGCAGCTGTAATTTGGCTTCCCCTGCAATAGCTAAGAAGCCCAATGCCTATTTCGTCAGCATATTTATAAGTCAAAATGAGGGGTGCGTCCTTTGGTCTCGGCGTACCTCTGTCTGAATATCTAAGAGATCAGGCCCAGTTTGGGCCTGCCCCGACCCAGAGGCCGTCTGGCTGGCATTTCCAAAGCTGAAAGCCATGGTTCGCGCAGGTCGCGAAGTACAACAGAAGTTATCCTATTCCGTGCTTGTATATCGATTGCTTGATGGCAAATTGAGCATTTGGTCGCGATGTGGTGCGGTTTCAAATAGTGCTTCAACGAAAGTCATGGGCCTTTCAAGAATAGTATGTGTATTTCAGGTTGCAACGCGCCCATCAACGTACAGAGGTTTGCTGGGAACGGAATCTCATGGAAATTAAGTGTAGGAAGCCCGTGGTTGATGTAATGTATTTGGCCACGCTGAATGCTAAGTGATTTCTTGATTCACGGTTGGTCTTACTATCAATAAACCATAAATATATTTTCCACGTGACTAGCTGTTTCGTGGAGCTGTCGCGTCAAGCTGCATGACCTAAGCCAGAATGGGTGAATAGACCAAAGGCTACAGCTCACCTCGTCAGCTTCATGACCTTTACAGCTTTCATTTCAACCCCAACATACTGCTTTCCAGAGGACTACAACATTTGACACCCTACCAAGGCCTTCTCTCTGCTTTTTACATTCCCTCGGAGCATTATTCATACACAACAAGACTCCACGGAGATTCGTTTGTCACGATGCCTGGATTCGACTTCTCAAACCATACGCGCAATGCTGCCCTGCATGCAAGAGGAGTGCCACTGCCAAAAGCTACCAGCACGGGGACCACAATTGTGGGATGCATCTTTGAAGGAGGCGTTGTTGTAAGTCGAACTTTTTGGACTGAAGCCCTACGACCGATCCTTTGGACACTTTCATGCCATTGGCAAGCACCCTTTCACTTGCTAACGAGAACCTTCATCAGATCGCAGCCGATACAAGAGCAACATCCGGGCCCATAGTTGCGGACAAGGTACGGACAGACCTGAGTGGTGATGGCAATCTCAAAACAGTATCTGACACCCAAACTAGAATTGCGAAAAACTCCATTACATCGCACCTCAAATCTGGTGCGCCGGGGCTGGTACGGCAGCTGATACCGAATTTACCACGTCACTTATCTCTTCTCAACTCGAGCTACACTCTCTGTCGACCGGCCGTAAGCCTCGTGTTGTTACCTGTATGACAATGCTGAAGCAGCACCTATTCCAGTACCAGGGTCACATTGGAGCATACTTGGTTGTGGCTGGCGTTGACCCAACTGGCGTCGGTCTGTACACTGTCCATGCACATGGGAGCACAGACAAGCTTCCCTACGTGACCATGGGCAGTGGGTCATTGGCGGCTATGTCTGTATTCGAGACGCAGTGGAAGTCAAAGTTAACCGAGGAGGAGGCGATCGAGCTTGCATCAAATGCCATTCAGGCTGGTATTTTCAACGATTTGGGATCTGGATCAAATGTTGATGTGGCTGTCATTAAGAAGGATATGACGACGCTCAAGAGGGGTTACATCAAGCCGAACGAGCGGAGTAAAAAGCAAAAGAGCTATGTCTTCAAGCGGGGTACGACTGCAGTGCTCAACGAAAAGATCACCACCAAGGAGGATATCAGCAGATATGTTACTGTCCATGAACTGGAGAGCACCGATTCTGCTATTGCGGAGAAGATGGATTTGGACACGTAAGGTCGTGGATATCACCAAATGTATTATAATGAGAGGGAGACGGGAGACTAGGAGACTAGGCGTATGTGTTCTACTGGACCCAAGGCATGTAGCGCCTGAATAGGTGTTTTGCTTCAATCTTTTTTCGGGATGGAATTAGTGATGCATTGATTGCTTCGTAACTTTATTACTAGTCGTAACAAGGGGCTATGCACAATGCAGTAAACATAACCAATCTTGAAATTTGCCCAGTATACCCCTATTTGATCATGCCATTGTTATTCTAAATTTGAAGGATCATCGTCGTCTTGCTGCACCTGTTGCCGTCGCATCACCACGGTCAGCTAGGGTAACAACCTCTCCAATACCAGCAGCGTCTTGTTCTTCCTCCATCGCTATGATCTCCTCTCTGCTGTCCCACCATTTCTCTTCAGACATCTCAAATGCCTTCGTCTTGATCTCTTTGGCAGAGAAACCTTCAATTTGCAAGCCACGCTTCGCCAGACTTTCCATAAGCAATTCCTGCCATTCAATCGACGTCCTCACGAAGAATTCGCGACGAGACTCAAATGGTCGTGGATGGGGCCGTGGGTCATCCACAACTGGAGCGCTGGTTTCTATTTCTTCCTCGACTAGTGGCTCTACGGTTGCAGAATTTGTGTCGTCATCAGCTGTAGCCCTATTGTTTTCCCGTTTCGATTCGCTGTGCAATGCCTTGTGTTCCTGAGCCGTGGTATCTACGTTCTCATCTGCAGGTTCGCCATCCTCGTCGTACTCGTCGTCGTCCTCGCTTCCATCTTCATCCTCACTACTATCTCCATCCTCACTTCCTTGCCAATTCTCCGGCTCGCGTCGAAAGATCTCCTTAACGCCATCCAGTTTTCCTAGGTCGACTGCGTACATCTCATCGAAGGTATATTCACGGTCTCCTTTCTCAAAAGTGCCACCATAGATGTACAGCACGTCATTCTGAACTGCAAGCTGGGCGTTAAACCTTGGATGTGGGAACTCCGAGGCGTTTTCTTTAACAACTTTGTCAGATCCTTCTTTTTCTTCGATGGGAGGATCCCATTCCTTGTCATCTGCGTCCTCGTATGGTTTTCCGGCTTCGATCGCCGCTAGATTTCGTAGCAACTCCTCTTCATTCGCCTGCCCCCTGCCTCGCCTGGTTCCGCGTTCCGCTACCTTGACCTTCTTCGCAGCGCGCGCTTTACGCAGCGTAAGAGGGAAGTAGCGGTTACGTTGAATGTTCCAAGCATATAAAGTATTGAAGAACTCGCTATCAATACCTTCTTCGCTCTCCTCCACATCGTGAACGCCACCAAATGCAATGCCTCGGCCTTGGTGGTACGCCATTGTCGCCCCAGCCCGAGGAGGATTCGGCGTATTTGCAGGCTTCTTTCGTCGTTCCCATCGTACACTGGGAGGCGTATTTGGAGCGCTACCAGCGGCAGGAGGGACGACGCGCAATAGCCATGAATCGGTGTGGACTAGCGGCTTCAGAACATTTCGTTGGACCTGGCCTCCTCCTTTTGTCTGTTTTCCTGTAACTGTGGCCTTGACCCTGGAGTATCCACCGTAGAGGACGGCGCCGTTCTCATGAGGCAGCAAGCTGAACGACGATCGTGCATCAGGCTTCTGAGAGGCCGGTGGTAAAACTGGATTGTGCCAAGTAAAGCTTTGAGTATCATAAAGCCAGAGATCAGCTAGATACTTGGTTTGCTGAGACGTATCCTGGAAGCCTCCAAACAAAATGATATAGTTCTTGTAGAACGTCATACGATGCCCGCTTCTTGCCGGTGGACCTTTACCTTTTGGCGACTCCAGCCTCGTCCATTCACGCGTAGACGGTTCTAGCCTGTAAAAATCATTATAGTGGTAGAACGTCGCTTGCTTTGGGGACGAGAATTCTCCACCAAATAGATAAACTCCACCGGCGTTGCCGCCTCGACACCACGCATGACCCGATCTGGGAAGGGGGGTGTTCAGAGACGTCACAATCCTCCACTCGTCTCGATCGGTGAGATATACATGAAGATCGTTGAAAAACGTAGCTAAGGCACCATTGAAATATTCGCCACCGAACAGAAATAGTTCGTTGGTATTCGCCGGCGATGGAATGATGGTAGCGGCAGCCCGCGATCTGGGCGGTTCACAAGCTGTCTCGGAGACCTTGTGAAATTGCTCTTGTTGCCTGGTGTACTCAGCGAGCACGACGTCCAAATCTATATCCTCAGCATCACTCTCATTGGCCTTGGCATTCTTCGCCTTTTCTTTCTTCTGGCCTTTCTTAACCTGCTTCTTTTTTTTCTCCTCTAATTTGGCTTTTTTCCCGTCGGATTTGGCCTTCTTGTCCTTAGCCATGCTTCCAAAATTTTGATTATTTACCTCCAACGGTTTCTTAGCCTCGAGTCCGTCGTGAGGCTAATATATTGCGTTAGGGCTTCTGACGCGCGACGTTGTCAAAATCCTTCAAGGTTAAGCGTTAGACTATGCGGACTAGTAGTGCGAACTGGACAGGGGGGCGAAGGTAGACGAACAAAGGAAAGGTCTGGGAGGTGCAGTGTAGTAAATAATAATATAAATAATAATATTCTACTACGAGTGAGTACTGATGAAGCTGCGGGTTACCATACCAACCTTCATTCCAAACATCACAAAATCAGACCAAATACGTCGCCCCGCCAAAACTCCGCGTTTTGTACATCTGTACTCTACTTCAACACCAAATCCAAACACCCACCTCCAGTTTCTATCCCTATTAAAACCCGCATTATATCAACAGTCAGCATATACGTAATAGCGTTACTGTGACAAGAGGGATACAACTTCTTTTGGTACCTTGGTATTAATACACGCTACACATCCTGCTCAAGAAGAGTAGCTTGCAACGACACATAAACATGGCTGCTAGACTTATCGAGAGCAAATCTCATGTTGTTCCTGGTGAGGTCTCCATTATATAGCAGTCAAACCACCTAACCTGCCTTATCCAATTAACGAACAGTATCCTAGGCAAGCTGAAAATAACGGAATTGTTCTTCGATGTTCCCCTGAACTACTCAAGCAGCTCTTCTGAGACTATACGTCTATTCGGGAGAAGTGTTACCAAACATGAACCAACAATTGCTGCTTTGAGTGACGAAGAACTTCGCAAGAAGTCGCAAAAGCCATGGTTTGTCTATCTCCAAGGCGGTCCCGGCTTTGGATGCAGCGCCCCTCAATCGATGGCCGTGACAAATCTTGTCCTCGAGCAGGGCTACCAGATGCTCTATCTGGACCAGCGAGGCACCGGTCTCAGTTCCACCATCACTGCTGCTACCCTCGCCACAAAGGGAGATTCGCACCAACAAGCAGATTATCTGAAGGCATTCAGGGCTGACAGCATCGTTCAAGACTGTGAAGCAGTCCGCAAGAATCTCACTGCTGATTATCCCCCTGAGCTAAAAAAATGGTCCATCTTTGGCCAGAGTTTTGGTGGGTTCTGTGCTGTTACCTATCTTTCACAGTTTCCACAAGGACTGAGGGAGGTTTTTACTTCCGGTGGCATTCCACCCGTTGGAAAATCACCAGAAGAGGTCTACAAAGCAACCTTCGCTCAGTTAACCAAGCGAAACCAGGCGTATTATCAAAAATTCCCAGAGGATATTGAAGCCGTACACGACTTGGCAATATATATTAAGTCTCAGAATGGGCTAAGCCTACCAGGGGGGGGCACCTTAACTGTTCGAAGATTCTTGATGCTTGGAATACTTCTCGGCGGCCATGGTGGCATGGACACCCTACATGGCATCATTATGCGAATGCGATCGGATCTTTTACAATTCAGCTTCTTTACTCGCCCAACTCTATCAATCGTCGAAAGCCTTGTTGGATTTGATGACAACATTATCTATGCTATTCTTCATGAGTCGATCTATTGCGAAGGTCGAGCTTCAGACTGGGCTGCTTACCGCGTGGGTCACTCTCTTCCCGAGTATCACTGGATCTCATCCGCACCGTCAAGCCCCGCAACGGTGCGCCAAAATCAACTCCATTTCTCAGGCGAGATGATCTATCCCTTCACATTCGAGACGTACCCGGAGCTTGCGAAGCTGAAGAATGTTGCGCAGCTCATCGCCGATTATGATGGATGGCCAGTTCTATACGATGATTGGCAGTTGGCTCGGAATGAGGTACCGGTTTATGCGGCGACATTCGTCGACGACATGTATGTCGACTTCGGGCTTGTTCAAGAAACAGCAGCGAAGATCAAGAACTGCAAACAGTTTATCACAAACGCCATGTACCACGATGCTATAAGAAGCAAACCCGAGGAGGTGGTGAAGGCTTTGTTTGCACTGAGAAACGACCACATAGATTAGAGACACTGAGAAACGACCACATAGGTTGGAGACAGACATCATTGTTGGTGCTATAGGAGGACACTGTCCCAGGCGATTGTTTGCACAGAACCTCATCCTCTAACGTGGTAGCGATGGGGAATATGGCAACAAACTGTGCATAGCTCTAAATTGGATTTTTGAAGCATTCAGCTGACCAAATCTTTGCCAAAATCAATCAATCGCAAACATCTCGCATCCCTTGGATGAAACTGTGCTACCCTAGACCTGACCAAAAATCTTGCTGCTCCACTTTCTCTATCCAGTTCCATATACCCGCCATTCATCCTCCCATCTGCCTCCACCAAATTATTTAACAGCTGCTCTGTAAGCTCTCGCATCTCCGTCGCTGCTGCCGTCGTCTCATTCCATGGTTCCTGGGCTCGTCGTTGTTGTTCCGGCTGCTGCTTCCAGATCTCGTCAATTCGCTGCTGGCGTCCAATTTCACTCAACGGGCCCTTCAGCTTTCTGGCCTTTCCTTGAGCATTGAAACCAGCCTCTAGGTTTGTTTCATCAATGTCAAGCAGTTCGCCTACTACAGGACCACCTAGCTCCTCGGCCGCAAGCATTACGGCTAGGTGATCGTCAATGAATTCGTTGAATGACTTAACGAGCGTAACTGTGCCCATGTCGTAGCGTGCCTTCTTGTTTTTTAGGCCTCGCATCATGTCCTTCGCTACCTGAGCCTTCGGTTTTTGCACGTGTTTCTCTATTGCAGTTTCGAGGGCAGATATACGGGTTTGAAGCGCATTCTCGATAAGCCTTCCGTCCTCTAAATCGGCTGCCTCCTTCTGCAGCAACTGCTCCACTTGGGAGAGGTCATGCTTGGTGATACTAAGAGCTGATTTTGCCTCGCTGGTTGTGATGTGTGTTGTCCGGAGCGCAAGGAGCGATGGCAGTGGTGAATCAGGAAGCGGGGTATATGGCTCTACAGGAGTAAGGGCGTCAAATGCAGATTTTATCTTGCTGATCTGAAGCAAGCGAATGTCCTTGTTGCTGTCGGGTTCTTCCTGGATTGGTTTCCCAGCGGCACGAAGCTACGATACGTCAACGCCACGAAATACCCTTACAGAATTCACACCGAGATTACCTTTTTCAGTACTTCTTCTTGTTCCTCCAGCTTCCTCTGGAGGTCCTTCAGGGTCCGATCCAATCGCGCTACATGGGCGCTGGTTGCGCGAGAGTTGGGTATACTCTCCATTTTGCTCATATGTGGATTTGCTGTGCACAAAAGCCACCAAGGCACATATAAAGCGCGTTGTGACTTGACGCGTTTAACCTGGCGAAAATACGATGCCACAAAAGCAAGGCAAAATATTTATGATAGTTCAAATGTTTGTTCACGTGATATCTTCCCACCCCAACTTGTAAAACGACACCCAATTTCGTTCGAAGTGCAGTACTTGGGTTAGGCTGCGCACTGGGTACTCACGAGTCGAGTAGTAGAATTTTTACTCACCCAGCTGAGTTACTCACTCATGTCCCGAGTATTGTTGAATGAGGATTACTCACTTGCTGAGTACCTAGTATGGGTCTTGGCAACTCAGTTATATCACGTGTTTGATTAGCCATTACTTATGTGTTGGAGAAAGATACGGGACCTGGGGAATACGGCACTTTAGGCCCAGGAAATTGGGATTTTCCCATCGGGGTGATCGTAATTAAATCACCCGAACCCAATACCTGAACCCCTATTCTGAGAGTATTCGGGCTTCCCCCGATGCCCTACAAATACAGTACGTAGGCCCAGTAGATAGTGTAGTAATCAAATCAATTCATTATTCTATATACTGTAGTCTACTGTCGAGTTTTCCTACCCGTTGCGCAAAAGCCCGAAGGTCCGGTCACCAAACACACCGCACGATTTGCGCGCGGTCGCAATATCTCGGTCCTTCCTACAACATTATGTTAAAAACGGGGGGCGACTTCATTGATCAAGACGCCATAACTCCATAACTCCATAACTCCATTCCCATATTGTTGATGTCCTATTCCACACTATAACCTTTGGCCTTTAGGTACCAGGTTACCAGAAGGTTTGCTAGAACTCATCTGACCTTCATTCCTGGGTGAGACACATTTCCATCGATTAGGCCCACAGCTCCATGATTAAACATCATATCCCACAAACGCCGAACCAATATCATATCCTTTGCCTGAATTGTCACTCTCTTCACATGAATAGCGAGAAGGTTTGTCACTATAACTGTTAGTATGTCCCTGTCACTATGTTTAAACATCATTCTCTCAAATTCTCAAATGAGGAAGCATTCAGCAGCTTCCTGAAGAGCTAGGATAGCAGATTACTGGAAGCGAAGATTGGACTTGAAGTTTTCTGCAATTTCCCTAACAAGACGCTGGAATGGGAGCTTTGGGATAATTAGGCTAGTATCGAGTTGCTGTCTTCTGATATCGCGGAGAGCCTTGGTGCCTATATGTTTATTAGAGAGTTCTGGTAATCCTCTGGTAATCCTCTGGTAATCCTCTTACCAGACTTTGTGCGGCGCATGGCCTTCTGAGCATGATTGTTGCTAGCTTGAGATGAGCGAACTGGAGCTTTTCTTGCTGTGCCCACAGCCTTTTCCTTTCCCTTTCCACCAAGCCCAGAGCCAGCCCGTAATCCAAGTGGCATCCTTGGTGCTGTGCCGCCAGTTGATCTCCTAGCAGTTTGCTTGGTACGAGCCATTTGCTAATATCAAGGTGAGTTAGTGAAGTAAACACAAGACAAAGAAGTAGATCAAAAGATATGTGTACTTACAGTGAGTTTGTAGGAAGAATATTGCAGAAGAAGAGTATAGAAAAGAGGTAGAGGTTGAAAGGTATGTGTTTTATATGAAGGTGCGCGTTGTGGTGTTGCTTTTGGAACAGTAATTCTTTGTAGGTGAATATTCTTCACGAATATTTTTGTTTGCAACTTTAAAATAACCACGACCTTCCTTGGTTACTCTCCGATCTACACATTCTTCTTCCCTTTTGCGCCTTAACCTCTTCACTAGGACTTCAAGTAAGTTTATTATCTTGATTCTATAGCCAGAACTTCTGGCGATCTTCTGCTAATCACGTGTTTAGTATGGCGAAACGCAAGGCACCTGAAGAACTCTCTGTCATACTGACATTCGTTGCACTCAGTTTGCTATCAAACTCAAGAGCAAACTTGGAAATCTCCTCCTCAAACCTACAAGTCAACATACATATCTTGGCTTATCACATCAACAACAGAAGCAATACTACTCAACGATTGCTGCAAACTCTTCTACTACATCTGTTTATGCTACATACATCACGGCATATCATTTGGACACTCATTGAACAAGTTATTAAGAAAATCTCCTCCTTAAGGGGGTGGGCCAATACTACCACATGGCATATCTCTACCAACTAGAGGCCTAGGAACATGAACGATAGCTCTAGAAGCTTCTACAACCCTCTATGATTCATTACACGTCATCGCTCCTTAGTTACCCACAAGATTGGTTAAGTTATGACATAATTTGTCTATAGGTACTCTGACCTTGGACCTCCTTTTCACTTCCTATAGGCTAGGAACCCAAGAGATGGTTCTATGGGATTCTCTTACGTTCACTACATGATTAGCAAGCTAGTTGTGGGTCGCACTTGATTTCTAATACATTTACCAAGCCTGGTTAGTCATGGAAAGTCATGGAAAATGAGAGAACTACACTCCTTTGGCATAAATAGGATTGCCCTTTCCTTAAGAAAGGGCAAGCAGACAATACAGTAAATCAACTATCACATACTTCCACGTCTTTTCCAAGCTTCCAAGCATTCATCTTGTTACTCCTTGTTTCTGAAAAGTCAGTGAGGTGTTAACCTCTGACTTACCCCTGAGTTCCCAGACTCAACATTTGTTGCAACTTGTCTGAACTACTTCACTACATCACACACCTGATTGCTGCGTTGTGGAATAGTCTAAGCTACAACCCTTTGGCTCTGTTTCCTAAGACAGTGTGTTGTCTTAGTAAAATCATCCCTTTCCTTGGGTGGCTAGATTCTCACATCTGGTGCACCCACCATTACATCTATACACAGTTATCTCGACTCATAGCTCGTTCCGCTCATTCGAGGATACTGAATGGAAAAGGCTTGCTATCTTACAGAATCCTCACTATCCACTACCCTCAGCAACAACTATTCGAAACCTCTTACCAACAAAGCTCACACAAATCGAAGAAGAGATGCTACAAGATGTTGTTCCTGGTTCAAAGATTGCATTATCGCTCGACTGTTGGTCAAGTGTTACTCGACTTTCGTTTATGGGTGTTATTGCATCGTTTATCGACTGTCATTGGAAAATGCAAGAGGTCTTGATTGGCTTTGAACCTATATATACAGAGCATACTGGTGCTGAGTTATGTGGAATACTTGAAAAAGTTATCACAAGGCAGCATTTAGAAGGACGAATTATATCCATTACGACTGATAATGCGTCAAACAACACTTTGATGATGAGAGATGTGGAAATAATGCTTGATAGTATTGCGGACAATGAGCATTTTATTGGAGGAAAGGTACAACACATACCCTGCCTAGCTCATGTTATTCAACTTGCCATTAGTGCTCTCCTTGGCCGAATCCAGATTACGCCACAAATCAAGAGATCTTAATGAACTGGGAAGAAGAGAACCAGATGGAGGGCCTTGCAAAGTTACAAAAAGACAAGGGTACCGGATTTACACTTGGAAAGGTATATATTCTCTTGTTAGTTCTGGTAATCTTCTGGTAGCTTTTTCTAATATCTCATAGCTCCGGAAGCTCACTATCTTTGTTAATTTAAGTCATACTCGAAGGAACAGGTTTATGACTTTGCAAAGGCAAACATGAACCAGGGTCAACCATCTCAGAGACTTCTTCGACTTATTCAAGATGTATCAACTCGATGGGATTCGACATGCCATATGCTTCTGCGAGCACAGCAACTCAAGTCAACAATCAATCAATATACCCGAGGCGATCATGGTGCTCATATGTTTAGATTGGCGAGGTAGAATGGAAGCACATCGAATACATCATTGATCTTACAAGACCATTCAACTTCTTTACAACAAACATTGGATCGTCAGCTGGACCTACTGTCTGCTATACACTCAGAGTATATCAAAAACTCTTATCAACGCTTGAAGGAACTCGGCACCGGCTATGGCATAAGACATATCCATGGGTAGCAAAGATGACTTTAGCAATCGATGCTGCAGAGAAGAAGATTAAGAAGTATTATAACAAGCTATACACAAATACTGGATCTATCTTCGCATTTGCTAGTATCTTAAATCCTAGTGTGAAGCTCTCACACTTTAACAAAAAGGTTTGCAAGCTTGACTTTTCAATACAAAATTGGGAGACAGAGTTTGAACAACAGTTTAAGACTCTTTATAAAGAGCAGTACTCTACAGTGCGAGTTGCGAGTCAATTAGGATTACGAGATGCAGATATGGATCCATTAGCCTTAGTATTGCAGCAAAGTCAGACATTAAATGGGACTCGGGGCCAGAGAGAGGAATATGTGAATGAGGCTGATCTCTATCTTGATGCTCGTAAGTTTCTGGTAGTCTTCTAGTAATCTTATTCTAACTTGTATAGCACATGTGTACACAAAGATATTGCTATTTTGGCAACAAAAGGAAGAGCAATTTCCTGGTCTATCAGCAATGGCTCGTGATATACTTTGTATTCCTGCTGCTGAGTCTGGAGTTGAGCGAGTCTTTAGTGCCGCAAGGGATGTGTGTGGCCATCGATGTGACCAATTAATCCTGAGACGATTAAGAGTATTATGCTTGTATATTACTCTCAACAATACAAGAATCGTCAATGTCATCGTGACAAGCTTGCAGATATGATGGACGTCGTTGATATGACTGAGGAGCAAGTAGAAGAAGAGTATGAGGCACAACGACAACGGATGTGCAATTCTATTGAGTTACAATATATCAGCGATGAAGAAGAACTACGATCAAATACACATATCTGAGAGACATATTCAAAGGTACAATATCCTCCATTTAACCCTCAGCGGCCACAGCAACAGCAAGACTTATCACAAGCTGCACATGAAGAATGACAAATGCGCTACCAACAAGGTGAAGAAAGAGATAGGGCTGACCGTCTTAACAAGACCTTATACGACATCCCAGATGACGATATCCTAGATAACGAAGATATAAGAGAAGATGGTAATAATGAGGAGCCTATACTTCCAACTATTCATGAAGATGAAGATAAGGATATGCCGTCCTCGCCACCAACGCCTATCCAACATGCTCGGAAGACTGGAAGAGATTTACTTGATATCTTTCAAGCTACTCGTCAAGACCCCATAAATACTTTAGGTATTAGTAGGTCTGGCCGGCCTCATCAAGCAAGGTGGAGAGATGTTCTTAAGCATATATAATAGATAATAGTGTTCTGATAATCTTCTGATAATCGTGGTACTTAGATAGAGGAATATACATGATTCGTTCTCACAGCTTACTAGAGATGGCGAGAGTGATGCTGATAGATGTAATACTTTAACTTAACCATAAAACAGTATTAATCGTATGAGGGACTGTTCACATGATGCATAAATCTTACACGTGATAGCCGAGTACTCACTGGGTTTTTACAGAGTAACTGAGTATGACCTCACTCACCGAGTCGAGTAAAAGGTTCAAGCTACTCACCCAGCTGAGTAACCCACTGAGCGAGTGAGCCGAGTATTGAGCGAGTAGTGCGCAGCCTAACTTGGGTGTAGAATGTATTCACCGGGAGCCTCCTTAGTTCGACGTGTTTCGAAAGACTCAAATCATACCAGCAGAGAGCGCACTGGGGTTTGTAAACAAGAGTAGGTACTCGTGCCCACCACACCAGAACCGTGCTGCTAACACAGAAATAGATCCAAAAGAGAGAAGTTCTATCGGCTTTTAAATTTCTGGGATTTTTATACTCAGCTATGTACAGACGTTTGGGCGGATCTATAAAACTACTTGGAGCCACCTTCATGGCCTGCCTGGTGTGGGTCAACTTTTCCGTGGGCAAATTCTATTAACGCACGTCAGTTAAAAGATTGAACTGATGCAGATGGTTACAGAACAATACGCACCATGAGTGCCGACACGCTTGTCTTTGCCTCCATCGGCCTTCAAGCCACCATGCTCGACCGGTTTGTACTTTCCACTGGTGCTGGAAACTTCGCCGCTGCCAGCAGTACTGGTGGTACCAGCGTGACCTCCGACCTGACCAGCCTGGTGAGGATCTACTTTACCATGCGCAAATTCTATTCACAATCAGCAAAAAACAGCTTGCGGGTTTAAAGGAGAAGGGTGTTTAAAATGCTCACGTCCTGTATTCATCCTCTTATCAGGAGTGCCGTCCTCCTTGAGGCCATTATGATGACTCGGCTTATATGTCGTATCAGAGCTATTCATTCTCTTATCAGGAGTTCCATCCTCCTTAAGACCATGATGATTGCTCGGCCTGTATGTTCCACTTGTAGATGCCATAATTCGAACTGTCTGAAGTATACTGTCTTGTATATCACAGCGTTTGTACAGTTACTGGTAGTGGGATTTCATGGGGATATGAACTCTCGGAGGAAACGTGGTAAACTTTAACCTACGGGCATTTTCATAAGAAATATATATCACGAAGGCAAATATTACTCCTAATGAGATCACTGCCAAAGTGCTGAAACCTTGTCGGCGTCATTATGATGCCAAGGTAACTTCTGAGGCTCTATATCACGTGCCTTTCTGTGCTTCTGTTCGTGGACTAGCTTATTTTTGAAGACGGACCGACTTCTCGACATCCACGCGTATTATCTTACATCTGCACTCGCGCGCAATTCCACTTTTGCCATCTTTTCAACCCTCTTCCTGGCATCTTGACCTGCGCTGTCATTCCTAATTTGACGGCAACATATCCTCGAGTGTCACTCTAACCTAACGGCTATTTTCGACAATCGCAACTTTCGGTCCGGTCATCTCAGCATTGGTGGAGGATCTAGAGGTTTGACTTTGGGTCTCTCAATCTGCTTTCTTCACAAAGTACCTGAAACCACTGTTCATCCATCACTCACCTTCACCTTCACCTGCTCTCCGCCCTCACAGATCCCATCACACACAAGCCTACAGATCCGTCACGGAACCTGGCTGCTTTCCATCATCGCATCCCCTTCTCAACAGATTCCGTCCAAGCACACGCTCTCTCCCCTCACCCGAGCTCCAGCACCAGCACCAGCACGTTTCCTTTCGAGCATCCCCACGGTGTACATAATTCGATCAATACAAGACTAATTATTTCCGACCTCCCTTCCGACCGCATCCTGAGCTATTCAAAGATTAACAAGCAGCGAAATCAATCAATATGTCTGCCTCACCACCCACCCCCATCCAGTCAGCCAAGCGCCCATTGGAAGATACATCCTCCCCATCTGGCCCCACTGATCAACCAGATGCCAAACGCCCGGCCCTTGACAAAGTTACGAAGGAAGAAGTCGACGAGTCAGCGGGACAAAAGGCCTTGGGAGATGAGGCGGGTGATGCTAAGGTTGAGGGTGGTGACTCAACCAATGGCGTTCAAACTGAGTCCAAGGATACACAAGGCGATGTTGTTGTGGGCGATGCGCCAGATGGTACTCGTACTGTTGAAGGTTCTATCCTATCTACAGGAGATCAAAGTTCATCTGGAAATGCACTCCAGCACGACGAAAGTTCTTGGATCCACATTCGCGCCGTTATATCAAGTGCAGAGGCCGCAACTGTCATAGGTAAAGGAGGAGAGAATGTGACACTTATTCGTAAGATGTCTGGCGCCAAATGTACCGTCAGTGACTACCAAAAAGGCGCTGTGGAGAGAATCCTCACTGTGAGTGGGGTGGTTGATGCGGCAGCAAAGGTATGTTCCCACCCTTCACCAAACTATTACGCTTCTAACTTAGTATTAGGCGTTCGGCTTGATTATCCGCACCTTGAATGGCGAGCCACTTGATCAGCCATCAACCCCACAGTCAAGGACATACCCGCTTCGTCTTCTTGTTCCGCATGTTCTTATCGGCTCAATTATTGGGAAGGGTGGCGTCCGAATTAGAGAAATCCAAGAGCAGTCAGGGGCACGACTGAACGCATCGGATGCATGCCTACCTCTTTCGACTGAACGCTCCGTCGTCGTCCTTGGCGTTGCCGATGCCGTTCATATCGCCACTTATTATGTAGCCAGCACCCTTTTGGAGCAATTGACTGAGCGCTTCGGAGGTCCGACAGCTTCAGCATATGCCACTCGTAGCGGAGGCCCAGCTGGAGTGATCCCCGGTGGAATGCAAGTTGTCCCCTATGTTCCACAACCTGCTGGGGGTAACTACGGCCACCCGGATAACGTCCGCCACAATGACATCCGATCTCGCCAAACGCCAGCAGCTCAGTACGGACAGCCTTATGCTCAAGGCCCAGGCCCACAGCAAGGCGGTGCGTCGATGCACTACGGTGGTTCCCCCGCTGCCGGGTATGGTGGTGTAGCACCACAGCAGCCGCAGCAAGTAGGCCATGGAGGCCCAGCGTCTCACGCCGGGCCGCCAGCTCAGCCAATGCAAGGTGTTGTCCCAGGCCAACCCTTGACGCAGCAAATCTATATCCCTAATGATATGGTTGGAGCTATCATTGGCAAGGGTGGTGCCAAGATTAACGAAATACGCCAACTCAGTGGAAGTGTTATCAAAATTAATGAGCCTCAAGATAACAGCAACGAGAGGCTTGTCACGATCACGGGGACTGCGGAATGCAACCAGATGGCACTGTATATGCTCTACTCCAGATTAGGTAAGGAATATCTTCCGTTCGGTTGACTGCGATATAAACTAACATGATAACAGAGAGCGAAAAACACCGTATTTGAGATGTGGTTTAAAATTAAGGGCGGGGAGTGGAAACATTGCTTTATTTTCATTTGGCGCTTCAAACCATGGGGATAGCATATTATCAGGCGAAATGAGAGTCTTTATTTACCTGGATGGTAGACCCTGGGTTTCGCCATCTGTGTCAAGAGACGCAGACCAGGCTGGGATATTTTTGAAATCGCGTGACCTACCTATCTGCTTGAAAACGTGACATGTAAACCACTGTTGGATGAATAGATAGATGCGCTTTCCATGAGCACCAGAGGCTGCTGCTGCCTATTCAGAAGACTTATCCGTCCGTTTCCACCCAAGGAGCCCATCTGTGTTGTTGACTTGGTTGGCTCCCTGATAAGCGAGTGCTGATATAAGTTACCCACATATTTGCCTCCCGACCTCAACATCAGCCTCATAGCTCGTTCGTGTCCAGCTTCGAAACAACTATCAAGCATGTATCACTTCTAAAGTAATAGCCCTCATGACCATTGCTGAAGTTGTTCATCACCATGCCTCTCGGTATCGAGCGCATCAACGCTCGTCGCCAACAACCTAATGAGCACATCAACTTCATCAAGCCACTGGATGGCCCAGATAAGGAATTTTCTGAGGACTTTCTCGAGCGCATCGCTGCGAGTTGCAAACCTATAATGCGGTCTAATCATCTTGCCGTGATGTCTCTTGAAGAGCATAAATGCAATCCGGAGTTTCTTGGGCGGAATTTCAACGCTGGTGAGGTTATACAGCTTGTCCTGAAGGCACCATCAGGGCACTGGCTGCCGTTCAAGTTTGTACAAATGGTCATGATGCATGAGCTCGCTCATTGCAAGCAAATGAACCATTCTAAGGCGTTTTGGAAAGTAAAAGACCAATACTCGACTGAACTAAAGGCGCTGTGGCAAAAGGGCTACACTGGAGATGGAATGTGGAGTCGTGGACGAACTTTACTAACTGGGCAATACGACCAAGCAAGCTTGGGGAGTGAGGAAACTTTGCCTGAGCATCTCTGTGGCGGGACTTTCAGATCATCTGGAAAGCGGAAGAGGGCCGCGAAGCCAAAACTCAGCTACAAAGAACGGAAAGAAAGAACGATTGCGAAGAAGTTCGGGGTCAACGGTGTCGGTGTCGCTCTAGGCGCGGACGAGGAGACGAAGGCTAAACTTGAGAAGGGGAAAACGACAGCCAGCAACCCACGTGTCGCTGGCAGTAGCCGCGGACGAGAATTGAGAGCCATGGCTGCTCTGTCAAGATTTACTACTACGGCAGAAAACGTCAGTCAGACTAAGGCTGAAGATGAGCTCGTGCAATCCGGGAGCGAGACTGAAAGTGATTGGGAAGCCGGTCTGTCCGGTCCAGAAGAGGCGGCGGATTCTGATGGCAAAAAGTTACACGATGGGAAAGGAAGAACATTGATTCGAGTCTGTGACGATGAAGATCCTGACGAAATCAATGTGAAGGATGAGATGTCTGAGCTTCGAAAGTTCGGGGTGGCCGAAGACAGCAAAAAAACCAACAAATCTCTGGTACCTGTCATGATAGAAGCCGCAACTAAGCCATCAATGTCTCACAGTGAGGCAAATGAAGGTACCCATAGATCACCAAAACTGGGTCAAGAGCGGCGAGTAAAGCCTTCGATCGGGGTATCCACAGAGACAGCATCAAGAACTCCAGCCTGCCCTGTCTGTTCAGCGGAACACAGTGTCGGGTCGCCTACATGCATGGTGTGCGCCAATGTCCTCGATCCAAAAATGGTCCTTGATGTCTGGAAATGCCAGAGCGAGGTTTGTCGGGGGGGTCTATACACGAACGCGGGAGATTATGGTGTTTGTGGACTGTGTGGGGAGAAACCTCGTGACTCAGCCAGACCGTGCACCGTATACTTTCCTGAGGTCCTATAATATGCGAAGGGGATACGATACCATACTCGCCGAAAGCACATCCACGATTGGAAAGATGTACGAGGGGCACTGTAAAACCCTCCTGTCGGTATCTCTGCGGAGTCCCATGCCAAGTGATGACCTGAATGGTGTTGAGGAGATTTGGGAAATAGCGTAGTACTCAGAGAGGGAATGAAATAGATGCTCATCAATATCCTTCTGTAAGGGGCGCGATGTCCCAACTGGTTGAAAAACAATGGTACCAGGAGCGAACAAGAATGGAGTGAGTGACGCCTGGGCCTGCATGGCCAGCTGGGCTAGGTATAGCTGGATATGTCACACTTTACTACGTAAGTTAGAGTCAGGAGCCATCTCCTGCAGTACCAGGATTGGAGCAGTCTTTCGACCTAGGGTTATTACGAAGAGAGCCCACACATCCAGAGTTTAGGGAGGGCCCAATGGAATAGCCTGGATTGAAGTTCAATGTTCTAATTGGGGGGCAATGGAGGTGCGGGCAATTCATTTGCGGGTAATTAGGAACGAATAGACGGGGCAGCCAACTCGCTGGTAGGAGTGCATGTGGCGAACGATTCAGCTTGAGGGTCACCGAGGACCCGGGTACCACAAGAAGGGGGAAATTCCCCACGATTACTGCACTCGGGAAGGGTGATATAACAATACAGTGGATAAACTTGATGCGCATGTACATACAGGACTGTAGCATGCCGGCGGGCGGAAAGGGGAGTCCAGAGCAGAGCGCCAGAGCGCAAGAGCCTCTGCATTCTTGGGCAAAAAGCTGGACCAATACCTAATAATACCTAATATTGGAGGCAGGCACTCTAACGTCACAACTCGCTTCCGATGACCAATTTGAGCTGGCTGGGCCATCACCGCTTCACGACACAGTTATAGCAGAGTAGAGTGGAGTACAGGTAGAGTTAGTAAGTTAGTACAGTAGAACAGAGTATAGTTTGAGTAATAGTTTGAGTATAGTTTGAGTATAGTTTGGGTACAGTATTGAGTACGATGGAATAGAGAAAGAATAGCCGTACTCTAGTTGAGGAAACGCGGAAAGATCCTTCGACCACGAGTGAAAGAAGTGGATTTCAACTGCTTGTTCGGTTGGCGGTCAAACGACGGTTACATTATACTGGGGACAAAGACGACAATGGATCTTCGTGGCTCGAAAAAACTGTGAAAAAACTGTGAAAAAACTGCGGATTGGCGCTGGGTCAAAATGAAGCGGGGGGGGCAGGTGGGCTGAAAGAAAGACGGGAGGGAGAGATGTGCATAGAGGACGCGGAGGAAGATCGCCGTTGAATATATATATGCTGTATGGGTTAGTTGGGTCTGATGGAATATTATGGTCTGATTTTTGTTCGTCCTTCTGTCCAAGCGGGATTGTGAGATGTGGGAGATGGCGATCAATAGATACCAGGGGACTGGGGGATGACTATAGTACTCGTACCTTGGGTCAAGAATTGTTAACAGGGGATCCATGTACGTAGTACCACCTCTCCGCTGTTTTAAAAAGTTGCGAGAAATACTCCATAATAATCCGTATAACGCGTCACGTACGTACGAGTGGTAAAGCAGCATAACATTACCCGGGGTTTTATTGGACTACTCTACTACAGGGGTAGTACATAGATTTATTAATCCAAAGTACGAGTAGACTACAGTACAGTAGACTACAGTACAGTAGACTATAGACGACAGTAGACTATAGACGACAGTAGACTATAGACGACAGTAGACTATAGACGACAGTAGACTATAGACTACAGTAGACTATAGACTACAGTAGACTATAGACTACAGTACAGTAGACTATAGACGACAGTAGACTACTCTAGTGGACTGGATATCCACTCGTTTCGCGTCGTGGAGCTTGAACGAGGGGCATGCATGACCGCGTGTTTTGGAAGAGTCAAAAGTACTAGTAGTATTGAATTTGTACATACTCGTACATATTTCGCATCCAATGTACATAGAAGGGGTGTTGAGAATAGAGTGGAGGAGTAGTAGAGGGTACAGAGAGAGTAGTTGAGTAGTAGAGGGTAGAGTAGTAGAGGGTACAGAGAGAGTAGTAGAGGGTAGAGTGGAGGAGTAGTAGAGGGTACAGAGAGAGTAGTAGAGGAGTAGAGTAGAGGGTACAGAGAGTAGAGTTAGAGGAGTTAGAGGAGTATGGGAGTTAGTTAGTGTTTAGAGAAGGAAGAAGGGAAGAAGGAAGGAAGAAGGAAGAAGGAAGAAGGAAGAAGGGAAGAAGGAAAGAAGGGAAGAAGAAGGGAAGAAGGGAAGAAGGGAAGATGGCCGGAGTACCATGCTACATGCATACAATATTCTCCGTCTATCCCCTCACTTCCTTCACTACAAGTTAGTGAGTAACTGACTAACCCACTTACTAAACCAAACTGACCTCACTCCTCTCTCGATTCCCTCGGCCATCTAGCCATAGGTCGCCCGTAGATAGCCGTAGCGAATATTGTACGGATCTAAATACGTACATATGTACATAAAAATATACAAAATACACATGTACAGTCCAGCACAGCACGCACAGCACACGTCCTTCTCCACACTATGCATCTCGATTAATCACACACAGGGAGATATCTCATTACCAGCCAGACCAGCCAATACACCAGACTGTGCTACAGACTGTGCTACATCAGACTGTGCTACATCAGACTGTGCTACATCAGACTGTGCTACATCAGACTGTGCTACATCAGACATACAATACACCAGACCAAGCAAGGAACATGTCCCGTCACGGATGCATCAGACGAAGTGCCGAGACGTCAGTCACACGTGGAGGATTAGTCTAGCTGGCCATACCGAGTGGAGATTGGATGAGGGGGGCCAGCCAACCATAAGACAAAAAACCGAGAATGAAATAAGGAAGTCAAGCATATGTATTAAAAGTAGCATTTATCCAAGTTTGAGGGAGTAGGTAATGGATAGGGGTAGGGATAGTAGGGAGTAGGTAATGAGTACTCTTAGTTAATTCTAGTACGCAGCGCAGCGCTCATTTGTAGCACGCTCACCGTTCTATGTTCTATGGGTACCCACCACCACGCCCACGCCGACTAAAACTGTATTGACAGGGAAAAAAAGCACTGCCCCAGATAAGAACCCACTACCCACATGCTGCATGTCACTGTACTGACTACTAACGACTACATACGGGCGATGTACCTCGCTATACAATATTGCGTATTTTACGCCGGGCTTTTGTAGTATTCTCCTCTGTAATGTCGGCCAGTATACAGACACAGATATACAATGGTACTGCACCTATACGATAAAACCACTGTACTCTCAGTGTTCTCTACATTGGCACGTTGGCACGTTGGCACGTTGGCGGCCGCTCACTGATGTAATATCGACGGAAAAAGCCACACTTAAAACTACCCAAAACTCCCCCCCCCAAACCAACCACTACCAAATCGTACTAAATGCTACAAAACCTGGCGTCTCTTCCCCCTGGTTGTCTCTCAAATCATTGCTCCATTGCTCTACAGGTAGTCAAGCCCTTAGACTTAGACCCAGCCCCATACAGAGACAGAGACCGACCTAGGCCCATACAACAAAGCCCCATTCAGACAAGCCCGTAGGGAAAAGAGACAAATGTCCATAGTCCCCCCATCTCTTTTACCACTGACAAGCATTGGAGCTAGTCGTTCATCTCCGTGCCCATAGGGTGGATTCAATCTTGTGGCGCAAGACTAAAAGGCCCGCCGACCTGTGGACGTAGGCTCGATTCACAGCACTACCACTCTGCCATGCAATATCACAGCAACCTCCTCCACCTTTGCCACCACCACCACCTCCATGATCCATCCCAAAATCCACTCGAGTAATGCCTGGCATCATGCTTAGACGTGACACCTGTTGAACCCCGCCCAATGATAGGTCAAACCTCGCGAGGCGGCTCTGGCGCTCTCTGCTCTGTGATATTAGTATCATGTACCCCCTGCCCTTTTGTTCGCTCCTGGAATTTCTTCCCCATGAGACCTGTCTCTTCGCTACAGTCCCTCCATAACCCCAAGCCCCTGCGACTTCGTCTGGGGAAAAAGTCTCGCTATTGCGACCCGTATCCGTGGGCTGAAGGCTAAACCGAAACAAAGGGCTCTGAGTTGTGACGCCCCGCTCCTGCAATCTGTCGCCAGAGACGCCATCCAACAGGCGACAATAGCGAAAACGGCGAGCCTGTCGAGTTCAAAGCAAAGCCGCCAGCTACAGCTTTTTTGCTTTTTGACGCTCATTGTGGTGGCGCCGAATCCCCGCGCTTCCTCATTGTCGAGCGCCTCGATCTATCGAGAGTGCTAATATCACAGTGAAGGCCTCTCACAACGATAGCCCCACTCTCACATTCCTGGCGAAATCGTTCCATAGGGCGACTCGAAGCGAAATCAGACAACAAGCATACTGCCAGCCACGACTTGTCTTACTACTCCACTGGCGTATCCAGCGCAGCTCACAGGCTGGATCAGGAGCCACGTTATGAACCGCGCCTACCTGCACCTGCCCGTCCATTTCAATAATACAGCCCTGACAGAAGCACGTTAAAATAACAATGCGAACTGGACTTCTTATGACCCGTGCATAGTTGACCGTGGGGGGGATCAAAGCATAGGCGCCAACTCTGCTGGACGACGACGACGATAACTGCGGCTCCCGTTGCTCTGATCTTTAGTGAATGGGACATGAGCTCATCAAGCCAAGACTGTACTCTAGTTAACTATCCGCACATCGCCTCAATCGACGGGCGCTGGCCAAAACTCAAATATTATGTCATACCAATACCCACCTCCACCGAGTTCCGGCGCGGATTATAAACTCTCACCACGTTCGATTGGCAACTTCCAAATACCACCTGCAATACCCCCAGAGCTATCACAACAAGTGCTAGATAGCAATCTATTCTCTCAAGAACTCAATCAGCATGCGTCCGACCAAGAAGGAAAAGTAAAGCGGTCATCGTCAACCTCCAACATCCACGATCAAGCGGTAGCCGATGCGGCCTTGGCGGCATCGGCGGAGAAGAGGAGAAATAAGCTAGGATACCATAGAACTTCTGTCGCTTGTGGTTAGCACCCATCTTTCTTCTGCCTTGTTTGAACTTCTCTTCGTAGGCCCACGGATTCGCTAACACTCAATAGGACACTGTCGTCGAAGAAAGATAAGATGCATTCTTGCGCCAGGAGATCTCCAAAATCGATGCGCCAATTGCATCAGACTGAAGAAGGAATGCAACTTCTACCCTGTTGACCAACCGCCGCAGCAGCCCCAAGGCCAGCGTGGCGCATCTAGCGGCAGAGGACTCGGTAGGGCTTCTTCTTCGGCATCCCCTACAGATCAGCTTGGCCGTAATTCGGAAATACAGAATGGACTTTCGTATCCAAATATGGCCATGCCTCCCTATCTCGGCTCTTCTGATCTAAAGAGACTAAAAGATGATGGTTTCCCACCTGAAAATAGAGGTTTGTATTCCCAAACTTACCCACATGATTCCGATGGTCTCGGTCCTGACTCTTCTAGGCCTTGTCTTCGGAGCGCAAAATGAATACCAACCTAATTCGGCGGCATGGATGCAATCCAAACCACCACCTTCAACGAGGCCTGTAGCCGATTCTTCCGGTTACTGGCGCGTTAATACCCAAGAATCTTTGGCTCCAGCATTCCCAATGTACTCTCAGCCTTTGAGTCAACCTCAGCACCAGAATTGGTCACCAGGCGCAGTGGATCCAGGCCCTCGGGAAGAGCTCAACTGGGTAGTCCCTCAGCGTTCTGTGTCTTTTGGGCACCTTGAGAACATGCCCCAGGCACCCTATATGCACGGTGATCCAAATTCGATTGCAGTATCAGGCCCAACCATCGGATCTTCTCATATCTCCGATCCTCGGCAGCAACCGCCATCCTCACCACCACAGCCTTGGTCGGTTCCGCAGTACGGTTATATGAAAACTTCTGCTGCCCCAACCGCCGAAGGGTTCAATAGTTGGTTTCCAAATAATCCCAACATGCCCCTCAATCCCCAGGGCGGCGGCGACAACATGCCTTATGATTCAGTATATTACAACGACACAGCGCAAGCCGGGCGCCCATAGTAGCAAGGCTCCCACGAAGACATCTAGAGTAGAAGATGCGGTAGAACGAGCTTGGGGTCGGGGGTAATGAGCAATGGGCGAGTGGTGAGAACGACGTAGGCCCTTGCGGGCGTTGCTAAGTGTCGGTGTGAGACTCGAGGTCTCCCGATATTATTCCCAACGAAATCACCATTTTTTGATTCCGAATAACACCGTACCAATACAAATGCTTAAAACTGATTACGTTAAGCTTCCCTTTTGGCCATTAATTAATTTTGTTGGTCATTAATCCATGTGAAATAAAGATCTACGGCGGCAGGCTCCCTTTGTTACTCGCTGTAGAGTAGAATCCGTGACTTCCTTGTCGTGATTCTCATACAGTAGTTTTGGGGATAGTGTCGCACATTAACGTTGTAGCCTTAAATATAAGGCACTATAATTATAGTTCCTTATCTACAATCAAACCCACCTGTGATGCTCGTTTGCGCCATTTCAGGAACTTTCAACGTAGTTGAATCCCAACGTCACCATGTTCCATGTGAGCAGAATTATCCGTCCAACGGATCTCTGTTCCTTTGACTAACATGCCATAGCCACACCCCGAAGACACCTACCACCTCCGATTACATCGGGCCCGCTCGGTCATCCTCACCACGCAAGAGTAGCTCTCCCTGCCGTTTGATTTTGTGCCCTCCTTTCTAACTATTCTCTCAGGCTCGTCGAAATCCGCGCTGCTCAACGCACCTTTGAGGGTGCCTACATCCGCACAGCTGTCTCCCAGTTTACATTCGCCCTCGTCGTCCTCAAGATCTTCACAGCCGAATTCTACAGCGTCGGCGCCCTTTTCGCCATCTATGGCATGGCGGTGGTGCTTGTGAGCGCCTATCGGCGCTGGGTCGGCAACAGGCAGTTCTTCAGTGAGGTGGGGGATGATGGGGTGAATAAGAAGAAGTTCAGGACGAGCGGGGAGGTGGTGATTATCTTGGCGGCGCTGAGTATGGGTGCTTATGCGAGCTTGTTGGCGTTGACTTTGAGACTGCATCCGTAGCTAGATGGCTGCGAGTTTACGAATAGCACAGAAATATCTGGGTTTGCGAGCGGGAATTAGTATTGTTAACTTGTTGCGGGAGTTGGGGTTTTGGCGTTGACTGGGTGGATATGGGCATCTTGCCAGGGCAAGGAGGAGTATAATGTCACGTTGACCCCGGTCTCACGATTTAGGAACGAGGTCAATCAGTCCAATATTTTCAAACATTAATGTATTTTGGCAGTATTTATTTCTATGCTGTTTGAAGAGTTGCACGTCTTCATGAACAAAGAACCGGCATTACCGGAACAGTTTCATGAAGCTGGTTATCATCCCGGAATGGGTTCCGCCACCAAGCTTCGAAACTCAGACTTTTCTGAGTCGACTTCGTGTCATGAAAGTAACAATGCCTAGAACGATTGATTAGCAAATAATTCAGTATCGTTTTTGGTAGGTTTGAATTAGGTTTTGTTGATGCAAGTTCAGTAAGTACCTAGTTATCCACATAATTGTTCCAGAACAGGTCTGTGATAATATAAAATATTTCTCATCATCTTGCTTTTGTCTCGCGACAAAAATCGTGCTTGGGCAGGGTATTGGAGAGAATAAAAAGTAGCTTACCGTATGTATAGGCTTGTCGTGATGTTTATCTAGAATAGATCAGTAGGCCAGCCACAAACACTTTCGACAGATGTCGAAACCAGTGGTTGAGCCATTGGAATGGTGGAATGAACGAGGAAAAGAGGAAGGTTGTGAGGCTTCAGAAGGGGTCTTTTGAGATCAAGCTCCATTGGAGCATTCATTCTCTTCCTATATTGGTGATACCTGGGTATCGTTCATCACCAGCCCATAGTATCAGGAAGGTGGAAGAAAGTTGAGTGGAAAATATTTGCTACTTGTTTTAACGACGACTAGCGTGCCAAGACATCATTGTCTCGGCTCTCGACGTGGTTGTTTCCTCAGGTCGTCTGGGCGACTCGCGGAACCTCGATAGCAACCTTGATTTCACGGACGAAACCAACTTTATTCCCACAACACCAAAGTCGGCACCCAATCGCAGCTTCTATTCAAGTTAAATATCAAGGGAGGATCGAGCCATCACGAACGATGGGTGACTTTCACTTTGGAGGAACTGAGGAGGAGAGCGCCGAGATAACGAAGCTCAATAACGAAGTCGTAAGTAGATCATCTACCTTGCAAGCTGTGTGATGCAGAAGCTGACATGTGTGCCGAAAATACAGCTCGAGGATACGGATAACTTTGAAAACTGGGAGAAGCTTGTCCGAGCTGCTGAGTCGTTGGAGGGCGGCTTAAATCGCAACTCGAGTCCTCAGGCAATTACCACTGTACGAGATGTCTACGACCGCTTCCTTCTGAAGTTTCCATTACTCTTTGGGTATTGGAAGAAATATGCGGATCTCGAGTTTTTAATCGCAGGCACCGAAGCCGCAGAGATGGTAAATAACGCTTCGAATTATAAAGGACGAACCCGCTAACATACACCAAGGTCTTTGAGCGCGGTGTCGCAGGCATCACAAACTCGGTAGACTTGTGGACAGACTATTGCTCCTTCAAGGTTGAGACGAGCCACGTTCCTGATGTCACCAGAGAGTAAGTATACATGGATGCTTTCCTTCCCATAACACAAGCAAGTATACATGAGTGGTCCCCTTCCCATAACACACGCATCAGCAGCGATGCCATCACACACTCCACACGGGCTTGAGAGGATCATCCTTTTCACAGACGGTGAGAGTGCCTAAAAATGTCCATCGTGTGATATCTTTCTCACGCTCCCGACCAGGAAATCTCTTTCCTGCCATTATTATTCGCTTCCAAGTCGTATCACCTTGCACATCTTTTTACCAGCTTCGGGATTTGGGGGATACAGAGTCAAGCACAACATCCCTTTCCGTATTTGATGTCCCTACCACCTTCTTTGCACCCTGATTCCCCCCCTTTGGAGATTCCGCTAACATCGTTTAACAGGTTGTTTGAGCGGGGTGCCTCGTGTGTTGGTTTGGACTTTCTGGCACATCCATTTTGGGACAAGTACCTGGAATTTGAGGACCGCTGGGAGGCACATGACAAGATATTTGCCATTCTCAGCAGGGTGGTCCACATTCCTATGCATCAATATGCGAGGTATTTCGAGAAGTTCCGCCAACTCGCCCATACTCGCCCTGTTTCCGAGCTGTTACCATCGGATGTCCTTACTAAATACAGCGAGGAAATTATGTCGGAAGCGTCAAATTATCCTTCAGCGCCGAAGGGGGAGCTCGAGGTTGAAAGAGAGCTTCGCGCCAAGATCGATAACGACCACATGGCGATTTTCACAAACACGCAGACTGAGACAACGAAGCGTTGGACGTATGAGTCCGAAGTCAAGCGCCCTTACTTCCATGTAACGGAATTGGACGTGCACCAATTAGTCAACTGGCGAAAGTACCTTGATTTTGAGGAAGCGGAAGGAAACTATGTCAGAGCCCAGTTCCTCTACGAGCGATGCTTGGTCACCTGCGCTTTTTACGATGAATTCTGGTTTAGATACGCTAGATGGATGCTTGCGCAAGATGGAAAGGAGGAGGAAGTTCGCAACATCTACCAACGTGCGAGCACCCTTTACGTCCCCATCAGCAGACCGGGGATCAGGCTTCAATACGCATACTTCGAAGAATCGGCTGGGCGGCCAGATGTATCTCAAGAAATCCACGAAGCGATTCTACTCAGACTCCCTGGAAATGTGGAGACTATTGTTTCTTGGGCCAACTTGCGGAGAAGGCAGTCCGGTCTTGAGGCAGCTATTGAGGTTTATAAGAACCAAATTGATTCGCCTTCTATCGACATACATTCCAAGGCCGCCTTGGTTGTCGACTGGGCGTGCCTTTTGTGGAAGATCAACGGCTCGGTTACCGACGCACGACAGGTTTTCGAGACCAACGCACAGTGGTATCCCAGCAGCCGCCAATTCTGGGAGAAGTACTTACAGTTTGAGCTAGAGCAGCCTACGAGCACGGCATCAGAGAGTGAGCAATACACCAGGATCAAGCAGGTGTTTGATGATATAAGGAGAAAGGCCCGTTTGACCAGTGCTACCGTCAAGGATTTGAGCCATTACTATATGGAATACCTTCAGCAGCGAGGGACAAGGGATGCAATGAAGGAGTTCCTACAGGTTGACCGAGAGATCAATGGGTAAGTTCAGTACCACGATATTATTGAGAGATGTTCTAACTCGACCATAGTCCGGTGTCAGTTCGGTTGCCTGGGGTTGGCGAAGAGAAACCCGCTGCTCAGGAGAACGACCAGGACAACCAGGATACAAAGGGTGATGCGTCGTACAGCAAATACTACCGATTGCCAGAACTTGTTGCTACCTCGCAGGTAAGGATGCACGGATGAGTTAACTGGAATGCCCTTGCTAACTTGGATAGGCTATGTCTCAGTTGGCACCCTTCTATTGATTGACTGTTCGGATTACGGTTGACAGCGAAGTCTGGAGGAAGTAGATTGTCATGTTGCCACATCCTCCTTGCGCCTTCTCGTGGTTTCCAGTTTGTATAACTATAATCTAGACAGCGGCAGCTTCAATGACGATGTAAGAAATGGATGTTAGAATAGTGGAACTTTGCTCACTGGTTTTGGAGGCCTTTATATTACTCCATTCAATCCAAGCTACAAAGAGCCTTACAACTTCTATATGTATATGACTTACGTAATTATTCGTGCCTGGTATGTTTTTTCGTGACCTATATGGTTCTGTTGGCTACATGTTTGTTCATCACCGCCACCTTATGACGGTGGCTGTCGGAATAATTATTTCCAAAATGTAGTTTCTGATATTTTTATTAAATATAGATATACGTACATGTATAGCGAAAGCCCTGAAAGCCTCAGTCATATGTGCCGACGCGACAATAATTGCGATAAATCCACCACAACACTAGAAATCAATTGAAACTACTCGGAGTCCTCTTCCTCAGACGTGTCTATTACAATCCGACTTAGTCCCACCACACTTGCCATAGCGACGGGCCCGGGTTTCTACCCTTGGCACGACTTGCCCTTATGTCCTGGTCTACCTGCACTATAACATCCCTCTCTGTAATGGTGGGTGCACCAGATGTGAGAATCTAGCCACCCAGGGGAGGGATGATTTTACTAAGACAACACACTGTCTTAGGAAACAGAGCCAAAGGGTTGTAGCTTAGACTATTCCACAACACAGCAATCAGGTGTATGATGTAGTGAAGTGGTTTAGACAAGTTGTAACAAATGTTGAGTCTGAGAACTCAGGGGTAAGTCAGAGGTTAGCACCTCACTGACTTTTCAAAAATAGAGAATAACAAGATCAATGCTTGGAAGCTTGGAAAAGACGTAGAAGTATGTGCTAGTCGATTTACTGTATTGCCTGCTTGCCCTTTCTTAAGGAAAGGGCAATCCTATTTATGCCAAAGGAGTGTAGTTCTCTCATTTTCCATGACTTTCCATGACTAACCAGGCTTGGTAAATGTATTAGAAATCAAGTGCGACCCACAACTAGCTTGCTAATCATGTAGTGAACGTAAGAGAATCCCATAGAACCATCTCTTGGGTTCCTAGCCTATAGGAAGTGAAAAGGAGGTCCAAGGTCAGAGTACCTATAGACAAATTATGTCATAACTTAACCAATCTTGTGGGTAACTAAGGAGCGATGACGTGTAATGAATCATAGAGGGTTGTAGAAGCTTCTAGAGCTATCGTTCATGTTCCTAGGCCTCTAGTTGGTAGAGATATGCCATGTGGTAGTATTGGCCCACCCCCTTAAGGAGGAGATTTTCTTAATAACTTGTTCAATGAGTGTCCAAATGATATGCCGTGATGTATGTAGCATAAACAGATGTAGTAGAAGAGTTTGCAGCAATCGTTGAGTAGTATTGCTTCTGTTGTTGGTGTGATAAGCCAAGATATGTATGGTGACTTGTAGGTTTGAGGAGGAGATTTCTAAGTTTGCTCTTGAGTTTGATAGCAAACTGAGTGCAACGAATGTCAGTATGACAAGTGTGTGGTTAGGAGTGGGTATTTATCCATTTAATCCTCAAAACGAATATAAACACTTGCCAACTTTACACACCCGCTCTTCTACCACTTCAACAAATGCTACTACACCACCTCCATGAACACCAAACCATCGCTCATTACTCCTTAGCCCTCCGCCGAGTGGTACGGAGTTGCATAGCTCTAACGCAGCTCTTAATTTGATGTTGCAAGCTCAAAATGTGCTTGACTCTCTAACACACAAATATATCTCACGACTTGCACGCACTGCTGAAACTTTAAGAACGCAAAACACATTGTTACTTAAGGAGCTACAAGATACCCAAAGTGTTCTATCTGCACGTAGAACCAAGAAGCGGGCAAGAGAGTAGCGTTGAAAGGAGTTATTGTAATGAGTACTCAAGAAATCCAGTCGGCAGTTTTACAGATTGAAAATGAGACCCGTAACAACAAGGGCAAAGGTCGGGCATAAAGGGTTGAACAAGACAGTATTATCGAGGAAATTGAGGAGGACCTACTTGTTAATGATTTGCCTGACTCGGAATTTGGTACGCTCAGTTGTATTATAGTTAATAATTGATTTGAAGTTAGAAGACTCGGTTTTTGGTGCTCATTACGCCATGGTGCTCCTTACGCCATTGCGAACGTTACCTTCGAGAAAGGAAGATCCATACTTGAGGCTGTATGAGATATGAATAGCAATTCCCCACATCGTGTTGGAGTTGGTAGGGTGCATTGACGTCGGCGCTACTACCGGCATTCTCCGTTGTGTTTATGTGGTTGGGACGAGACTCCCCTCCAGAGTACTGACACAATATACCACACAACGCGCTCTACGCCATGTCAAAGACCATACAGATAAGCTCCCCAGCGCAGTTTGCAGGCCTGCTGAAAAGCTCAGCGGTCGTGGTTGCCGACTGTAAGTTTCCATTCCTTGGCTTCCGTACTCCATGGCGGGGTAATTTCCAAGCAATGGCAAGCCCGACCAGGCAGAGCATTCCAGACCACCATACTGATATCTAGTAGTCTATGCGGACTGGTGCGGACCTTGTAAACAGGTTGCGCCTATATACGAAAAGCTCTCAGAGTCCCTCTCCCAGGCAAACCGCGTCACATTCGTGAAAATCAACACAGATACCCAGAAGGAGGTTGCGGCGCAGTACAACGTCTCAGCGTGAGCCACACCACGATAGCGACTCTATACACATACACTGACGCGGAATCTAGACTGCCAACGTTTATGGTATTTAAACAAGGAAAGCCAGTCGAGAAAGTTCAAGGAGCAGACGTACAGAAGCTACAGCGCGTAGTTCACGACCTTACGAAGATGGCGTCCGACGCACCCGGCCCGTCGAATTCAGGCAGTGGAAGCTCGTGGCGCAAGATTGAACTGCCAAAGGGCTATGGGGATGTTACTGGTCAGATTGAGATTAAAGGGCTTGAGCTTCTCAACTCGGATGGGGAGTTTGGTACCGTTAGGACTCTGCTGGAGACTGGCAAGCCTACCGCTCTCAACAATACTGGGAAAGAGAAGGCCGATACCAAGGACTGGGTTGAGAGTGACACTGATGAGCAACTGATGCTTTTCATGCCGTTCCAGGCGAATTTGAAAATACACAGCGTCCAGGTTTGTGCTTGACTACTGGTTACTGGAGCCGTACTAACTGGCCGATAGATCACCTCGCTGCCACCCGCGAACCCAGACGACGACGACGAAATCCCGATGAGACCTAAGACACTACACTTCTACACCAACAAATCGCACATCCTCGGCTTCGACGAAGCAGAGGGCATCCCAGCGACCCAAGTTGTAGTCCTCGAGGAGAAGGACTGGGATTCCACCGGCACCGCGAACGTAGTCCTGAGATTCGTCAAGTTCCAGAACGTCACCAGCCTAGTCGTGTTCGTGGTTGATGGCGACGGGTCGAGCGAGCGCGTCAGGATCGATAGGATCGCACTTGTTGGGGAGACGGGGGAGAAGAGGGAGCTTGGCAAGCTGGAGAAGATTGGTGATGAGCAGGGGGAGTGATGGGGAGGAAGGGTCTGCGGTTCAGGAGGGAACTAGAACTTCATAACGCTTCACACGAGTAAAAATAGACCGGCGTTCGTCGAGGGTATTGATTTCACAGCGGCGGGTGCTGAGTCTTTCAGACCATAGTATCAATGGAAGTTAGCATTCAATCGATATTCATTCAAACGCCCCACTGAGCCAAACACACAGCAATAGTCGATTTTTTCAAGCAAAGCCAAAATCTCATTCTTCACCACACTACACGTCCCCTCTACTCTCTCAAATCCCCTCTACAATCCAAACTAATAGAAAGAATAAATGATGTCCAGTCAACTCGTCAAACCCTAGCCCGTCCCCCGCATGCCCCGAAAGACGAAATGCGGGCGAGAATCAGCGTCGGGTCGCAGTGAGCGAGTAACCGTATTTTGCAATTGGGTCTGTTCTGTGACCGTCTTGACGCTCGAAGCAACATCATCGAAGAACCTTGGCAGGCTACTGGATGTTTTGAGCAACACGGAGAATAGACGGTCGCCGCACGAGGAGGGAAAGAGGTTCGAGGTTGGCGGTTGTTTATATACCGCTGAGAAAATTTTCTAGCGAGCCGCTAGTTAGGTTAGCGCGTGGTGGTGTTCGGATGCTCTCCGTGCGACTTCAACCCTTGTATTAGCGCCTAACGTACGGAGGTCATGGCGTAAGTCGTCTAATGGCGTAAATCGCGTAGTTCACCCCACCACCACCTAATTGATCTCATATACCCAACCATAACTCAACAATGGTCCGTCAAAAAAGTGTACGTGCTGCGGAACTTGAAGTTCTAGTCGCTGGTTCCACGTTTTATTAGACGGCATCCGCAGGAAGACGGATCGAATCACAAAGGATGAATGGTATTACAAAAGAAGTGGTATGTAATGGTGGGTGCACCAGATGTGAGAATCTAGCCACCCAAGGAAGGGATGAATTTACTAAGACAACACACTGTCTTAGAAAACAGAGCCAAAGGGTTGTAGCTTAGACTATTCCACAATGCAGCAATCAGGTGTGTGATGTAGTGAAGTGGTTCAGACAAGTTGTAACAAATGTTGAGTCTTGTAATGGTGGGTGCACCAGATATGAGAATCTAGCCACCCAAGGAAGGGATGAATTTACTAAGACAACACACTGTCTTAGGAAACAGAGCCAAAGGGTTGTAGCTTAGACTATTCCACAACGCAGCAATCAGGTGTATGATGTGGTGAAGTGGTTTAGACAAGTTGCAACAAATGTTGAGTCTGAGAACTCAGGGGTAAGTCAGAGGTTAGCACCTCACTGACTTTTCAAAAAACAGAGAATAACAAGATCAATGCTTGGAAGCTTGGAAAAGACGTAGAAGTATGTGCTAGTCGATTTACTGTATTGTCTGCTTGCCCTTTCTTAAAGAAAGGGCAATCCTATTTATGCCAAAGGAGTGTAGTTCTCTCATTTTCCATGACTTTCCATGACTAACCAGGCTTGGTAAATGTATTAGAAATCAAGTGCGACCCACAACTAGCTTGCTAATCATGTAGTGAACGTAAGAGAATCCCATAGAACCATCTCTTGGGTTCCTAGCCTATAGGAAGTGAAAAGGAGGTCCAAGGTCACAGTACGTGTAATGAATCATAGAGGGTTGTAGAAGCTTCTAGAGCTATCGTTCATGTTCCTAGGCCTCTAGTTGGTAGAGATATGCCATGTGGTAGTATTGGCCCACCCCCTTAAGGAGGAGATTTTCTTAATAACTTGTTCAATGAGTGTCCAAATGATATGCCGTGATGTATGTAGCATAAACAGATGTAGTAGAAGAGTTTGCAGCAATCGTTGAGTAGTATTGCTTCTGTTGTTGGTGTGATAAGCCAAGATATGTATGGTGACTTGTAGGTTTGAGGAGGAGATTTCTAAGTTTGCTCTTGAGTTTGATAGCAAACTGAGTGCAACGAATGTCAGTATGACATGATCCCCCTTTTAAGGACGTTTGTGGGCTGTCTGCTTGCCCTTTAGCCAGGTGGCTTTCTTAGAAAGAAATTCTAGAATGAGCTTAGATGCATTTTTTAGATTTCTCTTAGGCTCCCAAGTGTTGTCACTTGTAGGATAGCCTTTCCACTTAACGAGGAAGTAGTCCTGACCTCTAAGTGTCTTTTTGTCAAGGATAGACTCTACTTCATATTCTGGTTGATCCAAGATCAGAACAGGAGGTGGAGGAGACTGAAGTGGTCTTAAGGAACTTTCTTGTGCCTTAGACAAGAGAGATGCATGGAAGACATTATGGATAGTCCAAGTAGGTGGTAATGCAAGCTCGAAAGCATTCTTGCCAATAGTCCTTGTGATCTTAAAAGGTCCAAGTCTTTTAGTATCAAGTTTGTCTGAAGGTCTAGTAGTTGTGATATGTCTTCTAGACAAAAAGACTTGATCACCAACTTTGAATTGTGGTGCAACCACCCCCCTGTTAAAGGCCTGAGCCTGCTCGTCTTGTGCACGCTGTATTTGAACCTTGAGATAGTCCTGGAGGCCCTTAAGGTAGATGATTCTTTCAGTAGCAGAAGGGTTTTTGAAATTTTCAGGACAATTCAGTTCTGCCACTTCAAACCTAGGGTGATAACCATAGTTTGCATAGAAAGGTGTCTCTTTTGTGGTGTTAGAGACTGTGTTGTTGTAAGCAAATTCTGCAAGATGGAGAAGATCTGCCCAGTTGTCTTGAGCATAGTTTGTATAAATTCTTAGATATTGTTCAAGTACAGAGTTGACTCTCTCTGTCTGGCCATCTGTTTGAGGGTGATAAGCTGTAGAGAAGCGTTGTTCCATGTTTAAGAGTTTAGAGAACTCCTTAAAAAAGTTTGAAGTGAAAACTGCTCCCCTATCTGAGATCCAGTGTCCAGGAATTCCATGATATTTAAAGACCACCTTGAGGAATAGCCACGCAAGTTCAGAAGCTGTGATAGTCTCATTGCAAGGCTCAAAGTGTGCCATTTTTGTGAGCCTTTCTACCACCACAAGGATAGAGTCATAAGGGGTAGCACCCCCTTTTGGGATAGAAGGAGGCAACTTGACTATAAAGTCAATGGATATGGAGTCCCATGGGCGTTCTGGTATAGGTAGAGGCTGCAAGAGGCCATAGGGCTTTTGCCGTGTAGGTTTGTTCAAGTTGCAAGTAGTGCAAGAAGATATATAGTCTTGAAGAGTAGTCCTTAGACTAGGCCAGTAGAACTTTCTTGTTAGAAGTTCATAAGTTTTTGCAAAGCCAAAGTGCCCTGCAGCTGGAGCATCATGGAACTGCTGTAGGAGGTGTAGCTGTAATCGTTTATCCCTTGGGACATAGATATAGTTCTTGAATAAGAGAAGTCCATGCTGATTTTTTGAGAAATTCTGTAGTCCAACTTTCTCAAGAGAGGAACCTTTCTTCTGGAGGTATTCCAAAGTTCTTTTCGCAAAGGGATCATGGTTGTAAGCATCTTTGAATGCTTTAAGAAGTGTTGCTGAGGGTGTATAGTCTTTAAAGGTCTCTGGTTCCTGAGAAGAGGTAATTGGGGCAACTTGGTCTTGAGGGGATAAGTTTACCCCTAAGTCCTCTGTAGTACTAGGGTTGCTTAAAGATGCTGCTATAAGCTTTGCTGAGTCTAGCAGAGCCTTTGTATTGCTAGTTTTAGCAGAATCTTGGTAGTCATGTCTTCTTGAGAGGAGATCTGCTCTTTGATTCTTGGCCCCTGAGACATGTTTTATAACAAAGTCAAAACCTCCTAGTTGTTCAGACCACCTTGCTTGTCGTCTATTGAGCTGTTTAGTGGTTGTAAAGGTCAAGAGGTTTGAATGGTCACTGTAAATAGTGATAGGATAGTTTGCCCCTTCAAGGTAGCATCTCCAATGCTTTAGAGAACATACTATGGCAAGCAGTTCCTTGTCTGTAATGGGATAGTTTTGTTCAGCTGCTGATAGCTTTCTTGAGTAAAATGCCACAGGCTGTAGCTCTTCTTGTTTGTCTTTTGGAGCTTGGTATAAGATTCCAGAAATAGCAAAATCTGAGGCATCTGTCTCAAGAGTGGCAGGTTTCAAGGGGTTAAAGTGTAGTAACATTTTCCCTTCTTTAAATTCTCCTTTAAGAGCATCGAAAGCATCTTGCTGTGTCTTATCCCAGTGATACAAAGTGTCCTTGTGAAGTAATTGAGTAAGGGGTAAAGCCAAGGATGTATATCTTGGTATAAACCTCCTGTAATAGTTGGCAAACCCAAGGAAAGACTGAACCTCTTTAATGCTGGAAGGAATAGGCCACGTTTGTACTGCTTTTGTCTTTTCAGGGTCCATCTGAATGCCTTCTGTTGAAATTCTATGTCCCAAGAAATCAACTTGAGACATATGGAAAAGACATTTCTCAAGTTTGCAAAAGAGTTGTGCTTGAGATAGCTTCTCTAAGACTTGTCTAACATGTAGAACATGCTCTTGAGTGTCTAAAGAGTATATAAGAATGTCGTCTAAGTAGACAACAACAAAGATATCCAAGTAAGGTCTTAGAATATCATTCATGAGAGCTTGGAAAGAAGCAGGTGCATTGGCAAGCCCAAAAGGCATTACCTGGTATTCAAAATGACCATAGCGTGTTCTGAATGCTGTCTTCCACTCATCACCTTCCTTGATGCGTATCAGGTTATAAGCTCCCCTGAGATCTAACTTGGTAAAGATCCTTGCTGAAGAGAGCCTATCTATGAGCTCAGGGATAAGGGGTAAAGCATATCTGTTTTTAACAGTGACTGCATTAAGGCCCCTATAATCAACACAGAGACGCAAGGAGCCATCTTTCTTCTTGACAAAGAGAATGGGAGCTCCTGCTGGTGAGGAAGAAGGTCTGATAAAGCCAGAACTAAGGTTCTCATCTAGGTATTCTCTGAGAGTTTTCAGCTCTAATTCAGATAGAGAGTAGATAGGGCCGTAGGGAGGCATTGAGCCTTCTGCGAGTGGTATCTCATGGTCATAAGGCTGGTGCTTTGGCAGAATTGATGCCTTTGCCTTGTCAAAAAGATGTTGGTAGTCTTGGTATGCTAAAGGCAAAATGACCTCCTGAGATGATTTCTCCAAATCTGAAGTAGCTGCTATCTCCAGGACAGGTTGGAAAGGTTTAACCCATATCAGAGATGATATATCGTCCATAGTTTGGTCAAAATCCTTGATCTGGGACAAGTTTGAGTCTTGGACCTGAATAGGGGTAACTGAGGCTTGAAGGGTTTTTTCAGTATTGAGCTCAGGATTTGAGCTAAACCCAAGCGATAAATGCTTCCAATTGATAGTTGGATCATGCCTTTGAAGCCATGGAAGACCTAGGATAACTGGGTACTTCATTGGTATAACATCTAAAGAGATGGTGTCTGAAAATGTTGATTTTCCTAGGGGAATCTCAAGTTTGAGTACTGGGGTGTTGCAGGTAATGGAACCTGAACTGATAGGAGTTCCATCAATGACTCGGAGCAACTCTGGAGTGGGTTTGGGAATTGTAGGTAACTGGTGTGTCAAGATGAGGTCTTGAGATATA